GCTTGTTGCAAAAACCTCCCCTTCTCAATAAAAGACATTTCATCGTTAACTAGCAACTCGTTTTAGAACATCAAAAACAAAGCAGAAACTTTCATCAGTACATCCCAATATCGTGTTCCCAAGCAATTTTGCTGCTTTGCTCGCTGGCCCACTCAAGAAACCGTTGCCATCCACTGCTTTCATTTGGCCTCTTTTCGATGTCCTGGGAAATCGTAGTTACAATCTCATCGCGAACAATTGAAACAACGTTGTCTGATTACTTGCACTTTAACTAGTCTCACAAGGGAATGACCAGAAGTGGGGGTGACCGCTAGGTATGAGTCATACCTCATTCAATTCAATTTTAGTTTCAGTCGAGTTCCACTACATACAAAAAAGGTTATTCAAAAATATTGATTCTATAAAAGTTCCAGCCCCGTCAAGGAGGTTCAAAAACGTCAATTTTGCTCCTTGTCGACCCCATTTCTCGTTGTAGAGTTGCTTCAGGCAGCTAATTTTTTGGTCATCAATATTCCTCATTAGATCTATTGAATGAGGCATGACTCATCCCAAACGGTCACCTCCACCTCTGGCCATTCTCTTGTCAGCCAAGTATGTCAACGGCGGTCAACACGATTAAGGCTCGTTACAGAGAAATTCGCGCTATATTCCTATTGAGCTGTCCTTTAGACATGACCTCAAATTATAAGCTAAATTTTTGCCGCATAGTAGATGACTTTGCTCTAGGATGTAGTAAGATAAAAGGAATTGATCTCAATAACAATAAAGTACATACACGAGTCTTCAATCAACCTAAAATTGGTGTCAGAATGTCATAAATGTCCATAAAAAGTTTTACACGCACTGACCCAGAACAGAGGTCGTTTAATGCAAAATTGAATGGGTTCCGCCGATTGTAAAAAATTACCTTTTCAAATCGTTGAACGGAAGTTAGTATTTTTCAACTTTCTTTATTTGCTGATATTGTAAAATTTGTGCCATTCTGAGAGTCTGTATCGCCCTGAAGATCTTATGGCTTGAAACAGCACAACATCAGAAAATGTATCTATTGGCTGAATCTCGGTGAACTAAAAACGAATCCTCGATCTTTCACAGCTAATTTTCCCAAAGCGGAAGTTATTTAGCCTACAGAACATTCTAACTAGCAGTAAGTACGTTAAACTACTTTATTTTTCACAAAACTGCCGTCATGGCGTCATGGACGAGAGTTGAAAGAGAGACGGGTCGTCTGTGCCATGTCATCAAAAAGGGACAAAATCTTGCCAGGGGGGACATTTTTAAAAATCTAACACCGGATTTGGATTCCCCACTATCGATTTGGTATTCTCACCAATTTTCGGCTTGATCTGACGACTAAGGCTAAAAAAATCGGCGGACCCACCATGTGGGTTCCACTTAGGGACCTACTGTGTGGGTCCCTTCGTCGTGAATGTGTTAATGTGCTTTTTCTATTTGACCTTATTCTTTATTTCGGGGTTTTTGGTGACTCTCATTAAAAGATTGACTGCTAAAGACAAAAAAATCAAGCATGGACCTAGATCCCGATCCCGTATTCCTTATAGTAGTTTATCCATTTTAGCTTGTTTAAAAATCCAGAAGGAACTCGTTTGATTCCCTTTAGCAAAGCAAAAACCCACCATTCATATGTTCCTGAACCGGAAGTTTATGAGACTAGAAAATATTCTCAAGAAGTACGTTGAACTTTTTAAGTAATCGGCTCTCAAACTGCTTATTACCCAAAGGTTTTACAATTCGAAAAAAATTAAAAAAGAGGAAACTGCTTCCCTCTAAAATAACCTAAGATTACAGTAATTATTGGGGTTTTTTCTAGATGTTCAGGAAGTATTTCTCCACCCTGCTGACCCGTTATTTAAGTTTGGCAGTTTTTTTGTAGATACACTTTTCAAGTATTAAGACTTGCAAACGTCTCTAGAGATTCCCCTAATGAGTTTTCGTGAGAACGTTAGGATGAAAAAATCCAGTTACATTTGACAGCCCTTATTGAGGATTCTTGGATTTAACTTTGAAAAAAAACTTCCTTGCGACAGGGGAATTAAGTTTTTCACCCGAACTTTCACCCTATCCAATTAAGACGTTGAAATCAGAGTTCCCGAACTCCCTCGAGATTGTAGAAAAACTGTAAAATGCTCTCATTATTATGCAAGTTCTTGAAGAACATTGGGCTTTTTCTTGTTAACGGAAGAGAGACAACAGTTTTAGCATGGTTGAGGTAGCCCCCCCCCCCCCCAGCTAATGGATAAATACCACTGAATTTTTCCTGTTAATGAAGACGAAATTTTTCTTCCTTGTTGGAGGCACAATTTAGGTTATTTTCTGTCAAGGGAACGTGTTTTTGCAGGCGGACCAGGCCAATTCGATGATCATTCTAAAGAGAACAGTCCAACTCCATTCACCCATCCTGACACAAAAAGAGCCCATCTTTGTGTCCCGAACACCGGCACCCAACAGCTCCTAAAGTCTCCATAAAAGCCCCAAAGCATCCATAAAAGCCGCCATGTACCTGATTATTTTTCGTGATAAGGTTCTTTTCACTGGTACTTATCGTTAGATCAGAATTTGTGTTTCCAGTTTACCCTAATAACCATTTTCTAGAAGCTCTAAGCTGAACTGAAAGTCTCAACTTGGTCCATTCTGTTGTTTACTTTAAATCTCAATGTTATCTTACACATTGAACCTGTATTCAGGGTGCGGCAGGATTATTGAAACCAATATTCACTTTTACTCTACACTTGTAACGAAAACATCTCTCCGTCCTTTTTTGCCGTTGGCAATTTAAGCTTTTTCGTGTTTTTCTCAGCACCAACCCTTCAATTTTGACTATTTTGAATATTATTCGATGAAGTATAAAGTTGCGCATCGAATTGTACCAAAGTTAACTCCAAATGTAAATATCACGCATAGTTGTTGGCTAAAAACCTAATCTTTTGCCTCATAATCTTGCATGAATATTACATTTTAAATAACTTTTGGTATCATTCGACGCGTTCTGCATCATTTGTTCTGCATCGAATGATAGTCAAAATAGACAAAATCGAAGGGTTGGTGCTAAGAAAAACACTAGAAAGCGAAAAACCAACGGCAAAAAAGGGCCGACAGATGTTTTCGTTACAAGTTTACTGTATAGTATGTACGCGGTACCCATCTGAGTCTGATGAAGCTGTTTTCCGGCTCTAAAGCTCCCTTTCGACTCAACATGAGCGATTCGTAAGTTTTTCAAGAACAAAACACATATAGTTGTGATTTTTCTTGACGCACTGAACACTACTTCGATTTTGGATAAGATGGCTACACTTGATTTTCATAGTTTGTTATCAGAACTCCGTTGAGACCAAAGCAAAAACGGGAAATCGTTTTCATTGGAATGGGAAATTCTATGACATGAATTCGTTCTACTTTTCGCTGCCCACACATCTTTTTTCAAATGTCTCCCCTCATTAGCAAAGCTCCGAAAAGGTTTCCCCTTGGGACCCCGATAATGGTAAACATTTCTTATTTGAACACAATTATGTAGAAGACGACTAATCATAGCCAGGTACATTTTGAAGTCTTCAAAAAAGCTCCTTTTATGGAAAATTTACTTGTGGAAACGTTCCTATATAGTCCTTCCTAGCACAGTTCTCTTTATTCTCTTGTAATCCGAAATTTTGCTAAGGTTCCTTTTTTGAAAGCAGGTGCTTCTTGAATACTGATCTATATTTGATGACGATTGATAATTATTCTCAATACCTCCTTTTTCTATTTGTTGAACTTTGGCTTGCTTTTTAGGTTTTTTCGTAGCTTATCAAGTTTGATTGCTTCAATTGAAATGCCCCTCCCAATCTCGCCAGGATATCCACAAGAAATAGCAATCTTGGAAAGTAACAAGTGATTCAAATATTATATTATTTCCCGATCGGAGGTAATACTGCAAAAAACCGATCACCTGTCCAAAGCGGAAGTCCGCCCAAGACTACGGGTTACTCTATATACTGTGTTCCTGTGTTCCTCTCAAAACCTTGCAACTCGTCAAATTACAACTTCAAAGTCCCATATTAACATAGAGCTTTTGTCATTCAAAAACGTGAATAATGCGGAATTTTTCTCCTGATTGCAACCTAAAATTGCAGTTCTACAGTCGGTTCCTCTCGATTATCCATCATTATTTTCTTTCCACTTCCTGCTCACCTTTTCTTGAGTTTCTTATTTCCGAAGTTTTTGAAAACGTTCTTTTCTATCTGTTTAATTTCCTCACCAATTGCAAATACATATATTGGTTCTCAAACCAATCGGTGTAATACATCATTGTAAAAGCATACATACATAATCAATCATATTGAAGCACGTCAAAGACTAAACTTGCTTAACGGGTAATGCAAAGTAGTATTTCAAAATGCATTGAAGATTTTTAAAGTTGAGTCAAGAAACCGGAAAAATCTACAGCAATCCTTTTTTAGTTCTATACTATTTGTACAATTAAGCAACATTTCCAAAAGCTGTTTACCGCTAAATTTCAACTTGATCTCAAGGCGGAAGTCCCCAAGAGAACAGGCCAAATTTTAGCAGTAAAATCATGTCCAATCATGTCCATTTCAAACCCTTGGGAACCGTCAATTATACACTAAAGCCTCATATTAACACAGAACTCTTGCCATTCAAAAGGGGCAAAGCGAACAAAAAAGGGGACTCTTCTACAAATTGTAAGCTAAAATTACAGAATTAAGGTCGAGTTCCTCTCAATTTTCTCATTATTATTTGTTCTACTGTCCTTGCCCACTGACTTTTCATCTTGAGTTTTCTTACTATCAAATTTTCGAAAACTTGGCCTGTGATATTTGAAAGTCCAGAATACGACAAATCTTTCAATATCCAAATAAATCGTAAATTGCACTAAAAGACCGCTCTCTATTGAAGTTTTTGACACGTATTTTTTCACCGATTGAATTTTATCATTGATATCATAGAAGTTACCATCAGATTCTATCACAGATTTTCTTTCGACCATGAAAAGGGTGCAGAGATTTTGGAGCTCTTGGCACGAAGCTATTGAAGTGGTGATCGTTGGCTCAATTTTCTCGGGTGAGCCTCCAACTGATTCCCACAACACTACCAGATTTAATCGAATAATTGTTTGTTTAATAAGAAAACACTAAATGATACTTTTTATAGAATGTTTTTACAGAAGGTGTTTTAATTTCATTGTTAGCGGTTATGTCTATAAATGCAAAGTAGGAAAATGCTTATAGGGAAATTTTGCATTGCTGGAGATTTAAGAGGCACACAATCTATCGTATTCCCCTCTATTATAAGCTTCATACCCTCTAGGGAAGTCACACACAAGAGCTTCACATTTGGAAAACCGAAATTCAGAGCAGCTATCAATATTTTTTGCGTAGCTGCTCTAGAGGGCATGGGCTTAGGGAATACGATATTTACTACGAGCATGACACCTATGAATTGCCAATCAATTTCCAGTTGGGGCCAACCTATTGCGAGTAGTCGGAAACAACATCGCCAGTCAACGGGAGATTGACCTTCGGACTCACACAAGAAACATGACGAGCGCCTTCGAGATTGATGGCCTCACGTGGCTACAACTCACTCAATCGGCAGACTATCCAGAGAGTTGGGTAAGTGAAAAGTACAGTAAATGTAAACAGCACTTTTTCTTTTCACCTTTTATTTTTATTCTCCTTAATTTTTTAGCATTCTATCGACAGGACCCTAACAATAGAGTACATGATTCCGTTAAAAACCGCTTCACTTAAGTTAGAGAAATCTGATGGACTAAATTTTCTGTTTTTCGAGAAGGTAGCCTTCTACCTATTACAGCAAAAGATAACTAAAAGATAACCAAAAAGATAAGTAAAAGATGACTCTAAATAAGCCCTAAACATCAAGAGAAAGTTCCTGATACTCTTCTGTATTTTTTGTTTATAAATTTAAAAAGACTCTATCGTGGCCTCTAACTTTAGCTTTCTAGGCTTTCCGCTTTAGTCTGATGTGAGGAAAAAATTATCCAATTGTTGTATAATGTTTTTCGCCGTCTAGATAATGCCCATGGCCATACTTATTAACTTGGCCACTTTATATTTCACTGTTCGAAATGACGAGCTCATTCTGGCTATCAGGTGAATCCTTTTTCTACACATCGACAGAATGAAGCGACTCTTTTGGTATTGTAATACATGTTGAGTCACAATTGTTTGATGCTTTTTTTTTATCGGGGGAGATCGATGGTTGATGATTTTTCGCATGGTTGGGGGACCAGCTTAGGTAGGCTCAGCGGGTACCGCACATGTATTAGTGGGTACACATACACTAGGGGGTCCCAACCACAGCACCCCCCGTTTTATGCGTGGTACTCTCCTCCTGAAACTGCGTAAGTTGATCCCCTCCCCTCTTCCCAATAACAGGAAAGACCAAGTGTTTATTTATGGAAATACTTTAGAATTCCTAATACTACCAGAGAAATTTTCTCTGGTTAAACCGATTAAATTTTTCAATGATTCAAAAATCGTACAAGGGTGTACGGGATAAACGTTTTTTAGGGTGATTGCAACCGGAGAGAGTTTCAACCGTCTCGGATATATGTTAGTCAAAACCACAGTCGACTTTTGTGGATTTTTTGTGGATCCACAGTAAGTTCTGAAAAGTTGCGTTGATCTTTTCATCCAATACATAAATCGAGTATGTATTAGCTTGGCCGACTGAAAGTGCGATATATGATTTTTGTTTCCTTTTTTTCTATACTATCTAGATTGCCCAAAATCAAAAATTGTTAACTGAAGTTAAATCACTTTCAGGTGCACCAACATCCCTTTTGTTAAGCCTATTGTGCGAGACATCAACAAGGTTCTACTTATTAACATGTTTCTACAAATGATCATCTCTTTCAGGTTTCCTTTTCCATCAATTCCTAGCAAAAGAAATTTCGAGTTTCAGTCGATTCATGGCCGTTTCTTTTGGGGGACGATATTTCAGTTACGCTCACAAATGGCCATTTGCTCAGTTGGCCGTTGGCTATGTGTTAGCGGCTGGGGCAATTGTTTTGACCAAACATTTATGGGATATTTACCTCTTTGACTATTGGGGCATTCTCGCAACCATCACCGTTTGCTTTATGGTGACCATGGATTGTTTTACTTTTCGGGCGTTTCGAAATGTGAGTTGTCGGCCATTTGTGAGCAAGCTAAACCCGATTGGCCAAAACAAAACTGTTCAATTTTACAATGCTTTTGACAAACGGTTTTGCGCACAAATTGAATTAATTCCCTATCTAACACAGTTTGAGTCCTTCTAGAGACTCAACAGTGACTTAGAAATCGACTGGACATACACACAGACAGACATTATTTGCATTTATTTAGAAAGAAGGTCTATATACAAAATTTGAAATTTTGTGATTTGAAAATGAAAAATACAGTTATACATTTCATACAGCTAATGAAAATACAGTTATAGTGAAAACAAGTTATTTGTTTTTGCTTAAAAGACAGTTTAGTGGAAGAAAGCAAAACCGGACGCAGAGAGGCGATTGATGTATCAGGTGAGTTTTTTTAATCCTCTGCTATTGGACTCGGCGACAAGTATTCACTTGAATCAAACAGTTTTATTTTTCAAATATTAGGTTGAGTGCTTTGTGTTGGTAGCAACTACTGGTGGAAGCTACCTTAGCCTTAAAAAGAATCTGATTTTGCTGTACAGATACAGTGATAAAAGTACAGATCGAATTTGTGTGTCTTGAAAAGAAAGTATGCTTACAGATGATGTGCAGCTCGTTGATTTATCTTATTGACTATGTGGGCACAAATGTCTTCGTCATTCTGACAATCGAGTTCGATCTGACCGGTCCCACCCCTGACCAGCCTGATTCTTTCCTATTTCTCCCTTACACGTATGGTTCTTTACACGCTCGGGCAAAGGTGAGATTTGTGACGTGTATATAGCTTAACAAACGTTATCATCTACTACGCTGATCACTTCTAAGACAAGAATTCGATGAAAATCAAATTTTTAAAATAAGTTTACTGGGGAAGGGTCACGTCATATGATTATACTTTTCCTTTCTCGAATTTTCAATTACCAATAGCGATCTTCTCTTCAAGAAATAGTTTTGAGATTATTATTCCTTCTATCTACTAAATCGGACCAACTACAGCTAATCGTACAAAAAATAAAGGCTCAAAGGAAAATCATTATTTAGTGAGAAAATCGCTGCTTTTATAAACAGTAATAATGCAGTTTATCTCTTTGCCTCATTGTAAGTTTTATAATCTCTTTTCCCAATAAGGTTTGTTTTCTTTTGAGACGTTCCTTGAGCTCTCAGACAAATGAAGTTTTCCCTTGCTGAATTCAGTTATAATATGCTATATCTTTTAATAAAATCCTCAAAATTTCAGCTTGATTGGTCTGATATTCTTGAGAAAGAAGAAAAGAAAGGCAAAGAAGAAAGACATCGTCGCGGACAAAGGCTCAACAATGGTTGACACCTCAAAAATGGTTTCGAGCAAAAATAGCAACAGAACTTTTTCGACTTTGGTCACCTCGAGTTGAAAGCTGAAAGCTGAATTCATTCTGTTTTTAAAAACGTTCTCTGTTTGCTTAATTTAGTTTCATTTTTGTGCATTATTTGGTACGTGTGCGGGTGTAATCGCTTTTCGCTTTCATCGACGATGATTACGGAGAAAGATTTATCCAGAAGCAATGACATTTTCTAATTACAGTTTATTTACATTTTCAAAATACAGTTCAAGAAAAGCCAATTCAAATCAGTTGCAATAACAGGCCAGGTTCACACAGATCCCTCCCTGGGGATATTGGTTGATTGTGCAGCAAGTGTGACACGATCCCACTTGAAATCGGCAAATTTCATGTTCATGGATTAACGATTTACATTGATGACTTATATTCACGTTAAAAAGGGGAGAGATTTTGTCTAAGAGTGCGACTTACGGTGCGATTTGGATCACAGAGCGCGACATGGATCACGGTGAGCGACTCGGGAACGGCGGAAATTGTGGAGTAGGCTCCTAAATTTTGTTCAATGAGAAAAAAGCAAAAAACAAAACAAAGAAGCAAAACAGATACCAGACGGAAAAAACTCAAAAGTTGAAATAAGCAACAAAGTTTGATCGTCGCGGGGATCGAACCCGAAACGCCTGCTAGAGAAACGCCTTAGAGCACTAGAACGCGCCATAAAGGTAGCGTTTGTAGAAAAAAACTATGATATCTTAATAAATGATTTTCTGTGCCCTGTGCAACTCAAGTTTGGATTCGTTAAGCTTTCAAAAGTTTTAAAACTTTTGAAGACTGAACAGGCGACTCACCGAAAACGAAGAGCACGGCGAAGAGAATGGGACTTATGGCTGCTTATACTCAAGACTTATGGCTGCTCTTTAACAACTTGAGAAAAATCATTTTATGATCACCAGGTCACATCCACAAATTGCAAATCGCCAACCATCAGAAATCATTTTGGCACAGCTTGGGCCTTGACTCGGGTTTTAGATGAGAAGATTTTCTGAAAAAGGCGCATGGCAGAATTATAAACAAACCAACAAACAAACAAACCAATTATAAACAAAAAGCATTAAACTCAGAAAATTATCAGTTGAGAGAATAAACGTATAGTCTTTGTTGAAACTGAAAAGAGGAATTAAAACGTAACAATGAGGGCTCACTTGATATTGAACTTGAAATCATCTCCAGCTCTGATAATCGAATGTTTTGTGGTGACTGACTTGGGTCGCTAACTGTCACCGACATATAAAGAACGTTTCTTAATATTTTAAACAATTAGAAAGATTGAAACCAGAGACTATTATAAGATTGTTGTCAGGTAGTCGCCTCATCTTGAGCTGGATGCTCTTCAGAAGATGAAGAGGAGGATTCGCTTACATAAAACGACAAACCAATAAAGACGACATATATCAGAAATAAAGATGTTGGCATCATTTTGTAACAATTTTTGTGAAAGCTATTGGAAGTGATTTTCACACGTTAAAGAAATTCGCTTATCTCTCATGTTTTTTGAACGTTTTCTTAAAAGTTTATCATTTTTTTTGATCAAGATTTGTTCCTTTCTCTCATAAAGGTATTTCCTGATTTTATCGGGGACCTATAAGGAAAAAACGAAGTGTTTGTTCCAATGAAACACTCATTGCAGTTCTGAAAAGTCGAGCGAGCTTACTATACATCAGGTGGCTCACCAGATGGCAAGAAAAGTCGAATTCAATGATCATCAAAGAACCTCGGCGTATCATTGATGGTCAAAGAACTCAATCTGCCAAATAGCTAGCGGGTCACTACCTATTTTTCTCAACTTCCTTTTACTTTTTTATCAGGTTCTTTTCTTGGCATGTATAAACAGAAGTTGTATTTCCCTGTTTTGAATAAATGAGTTGTTGTTGAGTACTGATCTATCATTAAAGGAATTTATAATGACTCCGTTTTCTATCTTGCTTTTATGAGTGATGGTGATGGAGTGAAATGGTCAAGTTGTGTCCAGATTTATTGTTCTCTTTGCTCATCATCATCGTCATTAGCTTTCTTTCCTTTATCGAGCCCGGCCCACACCTTTTTCATCAAACTCGAGTCACTGTCGTGGCTGCCACGGCTCTCGCGTGGATGCTGAAATGTTGCAAAATTTGATTTCCAGTTAAAACCCAATTTGATCATTAAAATTGAAACTGTTTCCTTAAAATATTGGCTTCTAGAATATTAAAATAAGGTTACCGGAACACTAATATCATTATTGTCCTTTTCTCTATTATTAGTACCATTATCGTATCGTCTTATTCCTACATGTATTAAATCTTCTTTTGTAAGAATTAATCAAGATTTTCCGTTTCCTACCAAGTTCTATCAAAAGTATCACCTCAGGTTGAGCGTGCTCTGTCTGATCGGTGTCATGTCTATCATGGCTTTCGCGTGAACGCTGAAACGTTGGAAAATTTGGTCTTTTACTTGTAACAGAAACGCTACTGAAGTTGTTTACGTAGATTATTGTTTTCTTAGTTCGTAGTTTTCTGATTACAAGGCAGAGTTACAGAGTGTGGAAAAAGTATTTGCCGCCTTTAATGTAAAGGTGCTAAAAGTGCAAGCAATGTTTGCAATTTGATAACAAGAATCTACATTGTATTTCGACTTTCAAAGTAAAATTTCGTAGTCGGCTTTGGTAAAAACTACATTTTCTGGAACATAAACATGATTTGTTTCTCTCATTTGGTCCCGCAGGTCATTTTCCATAAAACTCAAAACTTTTTGCAAGTGATCTAATCAATAAGCAAGATAATTTGAAAATTGAATGTTTTTCCCATATACAAAATAATAGTAATAGCCACTGGAAAATCACTAGTTGAAACGTTTTTAGATCTTTCTACCACGCTCTATGAATTAGTCAGAATCAATTGTTATTTGGACTTGCTGCTTTCAAGAGCTTACAAAATCAGTTATTCTCTACAGGCGTTCATGAGATTTTGCTAAGTTCATCAGAAATATGTCGAGAATTTGATTATCAACAAGAATTAACCGTTGCACATGTATTTCGCGCAAATTTTACTAGTTATCAAAGTGTACTTTATACTTTTTGTACTTTTACTTTTTGTAACCGTAAAAGGACTAGATTTTAGGTCATTTTGGTGTCATTATGAAGTCAAGTGTGGCATCATTGATCTATAAAGAATCAATGGCTCTATTTCAGAAAAATGTCACTTTAAATCCTGTATTCCAGCAAAGAACCAAACCTCCGACTCGGTGTGTCTGGCGGGTGCATTTTCGACCTTTTTCTCGACATTTTCTCCTTCTCTTCGTTGTTCACGTTGCGGCTTGTCTTCCTGAAAAGCACCTATTTGGAACTAGCAAGACTACTTGATTGATTCAATTCACAATTCACAAACAAAATGTAGAGATCAAAGTCCGGCAAGCTAAGTAAGCCTGTGCTAGTCGATATTGAAAGAGCTTAGTCGGTCTACTGGCTCGAAGGGTTTAATTTTGCATGGGGCGACTCTGTGACTTTATAAACTCGAGCTAATGTTTTTTCCTAACCTACTCTAGAAGGCCATGTCAATAAAGGGGTTCAAGGCTTATTCTGGTACTCACCGCTTTTGTCTCCATTCCGCCCAGATTTCCGTCACGGTGCTGATTCATTTTCTGAAAAAAAAATGATAATGTACATAATTTTCCGGGATTTGAAATATATGTAAATTTAAAACATGAAAAAATATATCCACTTGTATTATATATAACTCTCTAACCATATAATATATTAGGTTGGAAAGAAAGTTCTCGGAAAAAGTTTGCATGGTGATTTTTCAAAAACCAAGCCATAAATTCTTCCCAGATTTTTTGGTAAGCTTGACTATATTTTAAAAAGTTTTGACAAAAAATCAGAGTGGGCTTCAGCTAAAAAAAAATAGATTTCTTCAGCTGAAGTGACTTGGTCACTTTTTGAGTGACCAGCCTTTAGACAAATTTTTAATGGATTAATGGATAGGCAATGGGTCCCATTCAAGACCTAAAATGAAGTATTTTTTGAAACGATTTCGAGGAGGAAATCAACCTTTGGAAGACGAAAACCACCAACGACGGCCTCCTGCGATCAATAATGCAGTACTGAAGCAGGCGATAGGAATGGATCCTCGACAAACTACACGTGAACTTGCAGAAATATTTAGAGTAAGGCCTCAAACAATTTCGGCGCATTTACATCAATTGGGGAAAACCAACCGACAAGGGAAATGGGTTCCTCATCTTCTCGTTGAAATAGCATCTTCGCCAAATACTTTGCAGAGATCTCGATGAGATTCAGCGGCATTTTTGCTCAATTTGAAGTCATACCAAAGACTGGCACGAAGACGAAACTTCGTCTCGGTCATCTAAACACGGAAATGAAATAAAAAATCAATTAGTTTAACGTCAAAAACATGAAAAGTTGTAATAAATAAGAAATCTTGAATAGCATATAGAGAATAGGGTTTGATAAAATTGTATAGCCCTAAGGTATGCTGTTCAAGAGCAGGCGTGCATTCATAACTGGACAACCTAATAGTTAGCCTAATTATTATATTACACATCGTTCCTTTGTTTATTCGTTATATCCATCACTTTTTTTCGTCTCTTTCCCTCCACTTTCGTGTGCCAATGTCAAATGTGCTGGCGTCCCATGCATTGACACCCCGACCGGACCGAAATGTACTCCAACAAGCACGACAAAGCAACCAACTGGTGAGTGGCAAGATTTGGGACAATTATTCCCTTTACTCTTTAAATTTTCATTAAGTTAACGTTTCTATAGAACTCAAGAAAGAGCTTTTCCTAACCCTCTCAAAACGAGAAAGCGGCTGGCGACAGAAAAAGCAATGGGAAACTTTTCCATTAGTATTCTTCACTTTATTAGTTTAAACTATTCATAAACGTTTTTTCTAACAATATAGTCCCCAACACGAGTCACTTAGAATTTTCCTTTGGAAAACGCTTGCTTCAAAGAATTGTTCATAGTAAAGCATAAAAAAAACCTATCCTAAAGCCTAAAAAAACCTAGGGGAATGAGATTAGCTTAAAACTAACAACCTGTACGGCTCACCATTCTCTTGGCTTTTCAAGAAAATGCTTGCCAATTACTCCTATCAATTCCTTCCTAAATACCTCTATCAGATCCCCCTATCTTCACCATTCCTTCCCAGAGTCCCATCCCCCACTCACCTGTGCCACTGTTCTCTGTGCTGAGGGCCCCTGTATCGAGACGCCAACTGGGCCGAAATGCCTGACAATGAGCACGACAGAACGTCAGAATGAAAATGGTGGGTGACGGATTTGAGCAAAATTAGATAAACGAAAAGTATCTTCGATCCCTCCCTTTCAAAACTTGGGCGTTCTGTCCTTGTGTTCTTGTGCATGGCTGCGTTCTCTCTGGTCAATTTCTCGGACATTGAAAGCTTTGAAACTATTTTTGTGCACACAAAAAAACCGTTTTCCTATCTAATCCATAGAATTTTAAACTAAATTTGAGTTATTTCAGAATGTGGTGAAAACGAGCACTGGGTTGGACCGTGTGCTTCTCGCTGTGAGGGAACTTGCGATAGGCCCATCCCCACTGTGAGTTTCTTTGCCAGAATAGAAATAAATAGTAGCTTTCAACAGTCGTATAAGCAAGGAAAACTTACTAGGTCAAGCTAGCAAAAGAAGTAAAAGAATTTTGCACATTGAAACAATAGGATCTAGCAATTGGAGTCCTTATAGAGTCAAGTCACTATGATAGTTGCATTGAATCCCTCATGGCTCAACTCGTATCCCCCAAATCAGTCATATCCTTCTGGTGTTTCCTATCTTATGGCCCTATTTTCAACTTTTGGTTTCAACGTGATCCATGTTTTCCTGGACGTGACGTGATCCATGTTCAACTTTTTAGGTGTGCACCATGGAGTGTTTCCAAGGTTGTAAGTGCAAGCCAGGTTTTGTCCGTGAGGCCGGCAAATGTATCCTCCTCACTGGCTGCCCGAAAAAAAAATGACTAACCAAAGTTGGCTAATCGTTTCGTTTTGCATGCTGTAAATAAATAATTCTTGCAGATGACTAAACGCTTTGCAATCAAGCAAGCTTTCGAGCTTTTGCTATTTGACCTGGGAACCGATTTTGACATGCCCTTGAACTAAATAGTTCAACAGCAACTTAATTCACGGAATTCTAGTTCAATCCAAACCGATAGATGGTCTTGGCCTACAGGGTCGGGCAAAATTATTGAAAAGCAAGAAAAATTCTCGGCCGAAAATCGGGCATACAGTTCAAAAACTGAAAATTAATTTATTTAAAAATAGTTTAGCAATTTAACATGCCTCACATATTCCACCTTTGGCTTCCACATAGAGTTTCAGTCAATTCATGGAGAGGTCGCATGTGGCACGCAGGTGTGTGGGCTTTAATTCGGCCCAAGCTTTTTAAGAGCAGCTTTCAAGGAGTCCAAACTTCTGTGTGGTGTTGCACAAGCATTCTTCTCGAGAATCGACCATACCGAAAAGTCACCTTTAGCCAATGTAATGTACTTATGGCCATCTTCGAATCGTATACCCTCATCTCTTCGATTTCCCTTATTAAATATTCAAAAAGCTATGGTTTCTAGAGTTGTTTGGAAAAGCAATCAAGAGATTTTCCCCTCATCATCAAAAGATTTTCCATTCCTCTGTTGTACCCGTACGACCTCATAGATCACTTTCCGAGGCTAAGACTTGAAGCACCGAGCAACACATAATAAATTTCCATAGTTTCTATTTGTCTTATGCTTTGAGTGATCAATGCACTTTGCCTTTGCCTTGCAGAAAGTCGTGTTATCGAAGAAAATATTATTATTTACGTTGACAAACAGTAGGTGGAAAAATAATCAAATCATTCAGTAAAGTCAGTGTTTATTGAATCGAGTCACAGAACAATGCAGATCAAATGCAATCTGGTGCAGTGATGTCCGGCATAATTGTCGTCTATTATGCTGGAAGTCCTCCCGTGAAAGTGCATCCGTCTAAAAAGAATCACAACACGTTCATACGAAAAAAACTGACAAGGAGTTGCAAGATTTTTACCCAAATAACGGCACTGGCAAAAGAAGCCAAGTCTGGCCAGACCAGAAACAAAAATATACCAGTCGGTTATGCACCCCCATTGCATTACAGGGTGGCCCATAATTATAGGTGCAATAGCTTATTATCTATTATTATTAACTATCTCGATTTCCTCAAAGGTGAAATTTTGCACTGAACACAAAAGCATTTCAAAAATCAGATTTGGACATTCCAACAAGACGGGGCTCCGAACCGGCCCGGAAAGCCAAGAAAGTCCAAGATTTTTGTAAAGCCAAGCTTCCCGATTTCATCACTTTGCCAATTGCCATCCAACTCGCTGGATCTCAATCCGATGGATTATTCAGTCTGGTACGACCTCGAGGCAAAAGCATGCTCCAAAAGCATGCTGTTGAAAGTTTGAAGAAAAGTCTTCTGATAGCCTGAAATGAACTCGATGATGCTTACTTGGTGCTTACTGGCCACCGTGGACACCTTTCCTAAACGCTTGACAGCGTGCTCGGCTAAAAATCGTGATCGTTTTGAATTTAATCGTTTGTTTGTTGTTCATTGATATCAAATAGAGATTTTAAAACAAACGTTTGCTCTATACAGTTTCATTTTGTCTACAAAGCTTTTTATCTGCACCTATAATTATGGGCCACCCTGTAAGTACGATTATACACCCCCAAAGCCGAACGTGTAAAGAATCGTGCCGAAGGGGGTTAAAAAATAGTTCAGCACCATAATAATAGAGGGATACGGTATACACTTTTCTAAAAGCCGAACTATTCAGGCTCAGTAGGCGCTGCGCATGTATCAGGAGGTGCACGGTAGGCTACCTACAGTATTTACCCTCTGCTACAGTTGCGGCGCCCCTGAGCTCAACTCTATCACAAAAGTTCTTGGGTCGGCGGTGTATAACCGTACTTGATGCAATGCAATAACTGACTAATACCCAAAAATCTGCTTTCCGTTGGTTTTTTGGTCAAAGTGGGTTCTGGTCTGTCCCTAACCTAATCCAATTTTGGCCAGACCTGCCAAATGGCGAGTAACTGTAGCTGTACGGAGTGTAGCGCATCGAGTAGAATGGACGATAGGATGGGTAATACCAGAGCCATTGACGTTTCGAACGTGAGTTTGCTTCTGTAGAACCAAACGGGAGCATACTATAACTGTAAAGCATGACTTGGCGACGAGACTATGGTGAGATTAGCTCTGTATGATAAGAAATACAGTCGTTGTATACTACTGACGCTTTGATCATAAAAGAGGGAGTGTCAGAAAGCCATTCATTGTTCCATATAAGCTGGAGATTAGACTTCCTGCTTCAAAATTAGGAATCATTTGTAAAATTAGACGGTTTTTTGGCTACATTTGTTCGCCTTCATCTGGGAACTGAGATGTGGATCAGTTTAAGGAAAGAAGGGCATCACGGGAGGAGTAGTATCGGTCTACCTTTCAATAGGTAGCTGGAACTGTGCTGGTTCGGGGCGGTAGCCAAGCAAGATGACTTAATCGTCTATGATGTGTTAAACCGACCCCATGTTACTTCTTGAAAATCGAGCATACAATAAATCACTCGGACGGTCAGATAAAACGGCAGCTGTCCGGGCAAAAAGCAAAATAATCAAAAAGAACAGCAATCTCATTTCGTATATTATCAACTGTCTTGTTGATAATATTTTCAATCTAAGTTTTCTACACCCGGTTTGACCTTGAAGTGTCTTGTTTACTCCTTTTTTCTCACTAATCAGCTGAGCTTTCGTGTTTTCCACGAAGAAAACTGGTTTTAAAAAGTCGAGTCGATGAAAATATACCTATTGCAATAAATTTACCAAAGGCAAGCAAATTACAATGGTGGACGAAATTAGATCCGGGTTATGGGAATAAGTCTAGCTCATCTATTAGGTTGATGCATAAGTCTTTTCGTTTTTTTCGTACTTCTGTTAAAAAGTAACAAATGCACCAATTAAACTACGGTTGATTTCATTAGAAAAACCAATTATTTTTCTGCAAAATAACATTAAAACGGGTTTAAAAATATTTTATGCCTGGATTTTCTTGAGAGTATGAAGTCGGGTAGTCAAAAAGGGCTAACTCGATGATGCGGTTTAGACACCTTAGCTAAAGAAAACCTATCTTCGTGTCAATAGATAAAAGATAGAGAAAAAAAAGTTTGATATTTCGCCAAAATTTCAGAGAAATTCATTCGGCCAATTTTTCCGTAGAGTTTTTTATAGATTTTTACGAAAAAGGCGTTTTTCACTCTCGAATTTGCTTGAAAGTGAACCGAAATTGATTTAAAAAGATGGAAATTGAACAAAAAAACACTTTTTTTATAGAGCAAACTATAGATTAATTGGTGAATTTGTTACTTTTTAACAAAAGTACGAAAAAAACGAAAAGACTTATGCATCAACCTAATAGTATAACATTGACATAAAAAGTCAAAATTCAAATACTTCGGAAGGGGGAAGTGGGAAAAAACGAGTTTACAACGTTCAGAACTCAAAAAAGTTATCTATGGTTAAATATGAAGAGAGTACCGCAAAAAAACAATCAATTTTTGCCAAGAATTCAACTACCTAATTAGATAATCATTTCAATCACAGTTGACAAAAACAACCTTCGGTATAGCCGAAAAAACCCACCGTTAAGCCGGGTTTAGGATCCGAAGGAAAAAAAAAATTGGTTTTGTGTTTTTGCGAAGATAAAGATGTATCATTTATTGTACAGATTGTATCATTGCGGATGATAAGTGGGTTCTAAAGAAGGCAAAAAGTACAGATAATTTTCCTCACGATTTCTCGCTTTTTTGGAGCGATTCCAATCATGTAAAGGACCTTCTTAGATTTTTTTTATCAGTCCCTATTAGATTTAAAGTTCGCGTTTGAGTTATGAGTCCCTGTCAGAGTTATAAGACACTCATTTTTTACTCCTTTACCGGTAAGAAATTCTTCTTGTATCGTACTCATCTATTTCCTGAGCAGCATCCCGTTAGTCGGTTTCCAGCACAATCACAAACAAAGGTCCAAAAATCTGATCACTGTGTTTTCCGTTTCAAAAACGAATCCGATCTTTGGTATCACAAGGCGCGCTTTGTCAATTGCCTCAAAAACATCTGCTATCTTCAGCAAAAAAAATAAGAAACGTTGATTGATTTAATTTAAAGCATTTAGAACTTCTAGGATTTGTTCTACTTTTTAATACAGAGTACTGTTAACATGCGCGATGCGAACCTGAGCCCAGTTGCTAATTGATCTCGGGAAAACTTCATTCTCCAATTTCCAGATGGTGGTGCCGATTTGGTCGGTGGCCGTGCCTCTCTATTGTCTTGCCTATATTTACCTCATGGAGCAACCCATTCCACCAGGTTTGTTCAATTGTTTTATTTATATCTTGTGATTTCTTCTCCATTCCATGACCATTCTCAAATCTCATACCTTTCTCTCTTCGATTTACCTTATTACTCGAAAAGCTATCGAAAGTGGTTTCTAGAGTTATTCGAAAAAGCAATCAAGATAATTTTCTCCTTCTCACTCAAAGATTATCCATTCCTCCGTTGTACAATCTCATAGAAGACTGTACAATCTCATAGAACCTGACAAGATAAAATTGTGAATAGGTATAAAGCAGAAAACTCAGACAAGAGCGTTGTTGTAATGTTACAAGAACCTCAACCTTGTGTTAAAATGTTTAAGTAATGAGCCAATAAGAAAAAAATTGCATTAGTTCAAACACAAATGCGAAAGTGAATAGTGTTTCACTGTGATTGATGATTGGGATAAAACTAAAATGACATTTTATTTGTTTTCTAATTAACGCTTCTTGTCCTCATGACGTCGATGCTTCTTGTAACGTTTTTGACTGAGATTCTATGTGCCGTAGTGCAATTGTTGCCCACTCAAGCGGCAAACAACCCGATTTTCGATCTAAACAAGACAATATTATTCTGAGACTAACCATTTTAAAGTTTACATTGAATTTACTTACTAATTTTCCTAATTTACTAAAGCAGACACAATTTGCATCAAATTTAAGACTCTTTCCAAAGTTATAAGACACCTATTTTGCCCTATAGCCAAAAGAATGTTGTCAATAATGAAAAGCTATTCGGAACTAAATGTTGTTAAAATGCCAATCGATCATTACCGTTACCGTAAATTATACCCTAATAAGTCGTTATTATACCGTACCATTATACCACAATTGTGAAAAATTGATGCCCTTTTTCCATTGGCAACCTAAGTCTAAGCTCAAATAACTTGGTGCTGGGCTGACCAATTTAAATAGTTTTTGTGCCAATCGATAGAAAAAGACTTGGCGCATTTAATAATACCAAGAATATTTGAATTGGATAATCCAACCTGATGAGATATAAGCTCAAAGTTAGATTGCCAATGGCAAAAGGGGCGGCACGCGTATCAAATGTCCGATAACCTTATCTTGACCACATAAATATTCTCGACCCACCCGTCCTCCATTTTGCCAAACTGAACCCATAGGCTAAACAGCCGACAATAGTGGGCCCGAATTTGAGGATAATCGTAGAATCTATGCCAAACTTTGACGAAACGCCGAAAGATGCGAGAAATGTGGTGATCGTGAGCCACAAGGGCAAAGTTTCTTTGCTGGTAGTCCTTTGCCAATGTAAATCTCGATCAAATAGCCAATAAATCGATCTCCCGACCGCCCAAATCCCACAGGGAATTGCGAGCAGCTCGAGAAAAGCGAAATGATTGACGAGGTCAACAGAAGAATCACTAAATGAGGCCTTAAGCACACCATATCCACTGAATAGGAGTCCACTCGTCAAGCCCAGACCACAAATATAATCGCCAATCGTGCCGAGTCTCCTGCATTGTAAATTATTGGAGCTCTTTCAGGGCATAGAGGAGTTTAAAAGAAATGTTTGACTCAACCCGAATTCTGGACGCATTACATTGTACACCAGGGCCTATGAGAGCCTTCCCTTCACATTAAAAGAATTGATTCACTATAGCAAAGATTACCGTCAACCGATTTTCATGTTTTTGGTATCATGGTAGGACTCTTGCCTATACGAAAGAACTAAGCCTGGATCAAAGCCCTAACTTTAGCGGAAAGTTACAATGTAACATGGACCAAAAGGTTCTATGCCCTGATAGAGCTAACTATTTCCATTCAATGTCAAATTACTGACCTTGATAGACTATGGTGAGCCGATTGTCTCATTTCCAATTGAATGTTTCCCAAATGATCGATTGTGTAAACTCCGTTTGCTGGATAAACCAAGTAACACGGCGGATATTTGTTCTGGTTCACGAAATCCACCCAACTGACATAGGTTCGACCGGTCGGCTCCACGAAATGTATGTACCATTTCGTTTTCCATTTGACAGCAATCCGAAAAGAAAAAACTGGCTAATGAAATTTCTGAATTCTTTGAATTTAGCTTTGAAAAAAGACGCCTTATCAAAAGTTCGGGCGGACAGAAAGCAGTTTAGAGTACGGTAGCGAAAAGGGAATACTTTAGACAAGTGAATTCCATTTGAACTTTACACTTTACACTTTACATGCATGCTTTTCTGATCAGGTTGGCCCAGAAGTCTTTAGACTGTTTTTATGATTGATTTTTATGATTGATTTTTTTATGACTAAAAAACTGCGATGCAATATACAAATATAAAGATAAACGATGAAATAAAGCAAAACCTGAACCAAAGCCGGAAGATAATGCTTTGCATTTGGTGGGATATTCAAGGAGTTGTTTATTGCGAATTGTTGCCTGAAAGCACGACTATTATAGCATTATTATACACTACACAGTTGGATAAAGTGAAATCACAAAAAAACAAGGAAGAGAGAAGGCAAACAAGTCCACCTTTTGCACGACAATGCCAGGGCTCATGTTGCAGAATCCATAAAAGAAAAACTGAAGGAATTGCGATGGGAAATTCTTCCTTATCCCTCTTATATTCCAGAACTCGCTAACAAACGCTTCGGAGACCGAGCTGAAGTCGAAAACTGGCTCCGCGACTTCTTTGACCGGCAGCCAAAGAATTTTTGGGAGAAAGGAATTCGCGCTTTGCCAAATAAATGACAAAATGTGATTCTTAAAAATGATCATTACCTTGAATAAATATTTGTTTTAGTTTTTGGGAAATCACAAAACAAAAACAGTCTAAAGATGGCCAACCTGATACAAAAGAGTAGCAGCAAACATAGATAAGCATTTTTGGGTGCTTTTAAAACAAATTTACCAAATTTTACTCTTTTTTGAATAGTGTTCTATTTAAGATCTTGCGTTAAAATGATATCGTTTGGTTGCAGAAAGTAGTCTAGAGTACGGTAGTGCAAAAAAAGCTACTATTTTGCAGGAGGAAGCCACTATTTGACTGCAGAATTGTCTAGTTTTAAGAGTTCAGACTCGACCGAAAAAAGCCGTTAACCCGGTCTTTATTCGGTTTTGTTAGTTCGATTTGAATTTTTAAAGTTAGATTTTTCAATTTTTTTCACCTACTCTCAGTAGAAAATCGACGCCCTCAAGTTTTTCACCGAAAAGCGACACGAAAACGAAAGAGATTTGCACGACTCTCTCGGCTTCTTTTCCATAACTGTCGGCTATGTATCGAGCCTTTTCGCGCAGATTATCGATCAGCTCCTCTTGAGATGAGCTCAAGCTCTCCATATCGAAATGTAGAAGTTGTCCGATTTTTTGCCCCAATTCGATCCAATCTTCTTCCAAGTGCAAGTTGTAGGCAATGGATTTTTCCAATTGTTTGCCGATGAATTGTTGAAATTTCAAGGCGAACGAACGTTTTAAATTCACAGTGGAAACGATTTGCTAAAACAGTAAATGAGCTTTACAAAAAAAGGTTGCAACTTCGGCGACTAATAATGGGGAATAAAAAAGCATTCGCTATCAACATAACAGAACGTTTTTATTTCAAAAATTTCGTAGTTCAAAATTACATTCGAATCCGTCAAAACATAATTCACACTGATCCGACCACTTTGTCAAAAGTTACGGACTAAATATAAAGTGTGGGGCACGGTTTTGCGCCTACAACTTTTGGATCGAGATCTGATCTTTTGGATCTGAAATTCTTTTTAGTTCTAGAACTTTTGACTTTCTTCCTAGATTTTTCTTAAAAAGCCTTAACTTTTTTGGGTTGGCAATTCACCTGGGAAACATGATTCATGTGGAGATTTGCCATCATTTGCCTAACGGAAAGCAGTAGAAATTTCCAGAGAAGTTTCAAAAGAATAGATGACAATAACAGATTTAGTAGGTAAGGCTTTTTTGAAAATTATGAAATCAAAAAATAAATTTATAGTGAGAATCGATAGGGAAAGTCTAGAGTCATTGCTCCTGGAGATAAGCACTTTCGAAAATTGGGGAAAGGAAGAAAAGGACCTTCTCAAAGAAAAAGAAAGAGATTGCTGACTATGAGTCATTAAGAGACAAGTGTCCTTGGATGCGAAATACTTGGTGGACAAGAAATCAAACTCAACATGGAATTTTATATAGACTCTTTATGCGGCTTGGTAGTCTAATGGATAGAGTGGATTGACTTGGTTCGAATCCTCGCCAACAAATAAGATCATTTAGAAACTTTCAGGTGGTTGAAAAGCGTGGATAGTTCAATGAAGACGATGCAGTGAAGTAGTGAAACCGGAAGCGATTGCCCCAATTGAGCCAATGCCGATGGCTGATCCACACGTAGTCAAGTACGCGATGCAAGAGACTGGTCCACCCTCGACTTTGAGTACGAATGGGCTCGCGAATAAGAGCAAAAGGAATGAAGATCATGTGTAGATGATGATGTGTAGAATTTCCGGATTTCATTGTGATGAGTTTATCCATACACAAGTTATTGTGGAGAGAGAGAGAAGAAATTTTTCAAAAAATTAGTCAACACTGGGGGAATGGATGAAGACTAAAAGGAGCTCCTTTAAAGCACCCTGAGACATTGAATCACAGTGTTTCAAAATATATACAAAATATGAAAATATATGTGAACTATTCAAACACAGAAATTGACTCAATATAGTTAAAAGGGATTTACAACGTTTCAAATTATACAACTTTTCAAAATTTATACAAAATTTGGACATGAATTGCGAAAATACCAGAAATTGAGTTAATTGGTTAACAGAACTAGAATTAATGTCGTAAAAGATTTTTAAAAGTAATAGAGATGATTTTTCACTGGTACCGTTTGATTTGGCTAGCTGCAGTGAAAGGGTGAAAAAGGTGAAAGTCACGGACTTGGCGCTACGCAAACACCAACACACATTGGACAATATTTTGCGATGAAGATTCCGGCAGGAGAAGCAGCAGTGAAACCGGAAGCGATTACCCCAATTGAGCCAATGGTGATGGCTGATCCACACGCAATCAAGCACGCGATGCAAAAGACTGGTCCACCGTCGACTTTGAGTACGAGTGGGCTAGCGAATAAGAGCAGAAGGAATAGCATTTGGCGGGCAGAGACGTGCATTTTGTTGAAAGTCTTTGAATTTGCAATAGAAACAATGACAAAACCCTTCCAGCCTTTGTTGTGCTCAGCTATAAGAGCTTTCTTTTCCTTGCAAAATCTTATTGTTGAACGTTTAAGAGTAAACATAAAATTCATTTCACAAGATCATATAGGTTTCTTTAATTGTTTTGGTACAACTTAATTCCCTTCACACCAATGATCGCCACTGATCGGGTTGATGCTTAAGCTTATGAAACCTTAGTTAATCATTCAGAAGTGAAGTCTTCGGAGGTGCCTCAAAAGAGATGCTAATGACTGATTTCGTAATCGGTGTTTTCCCTAATGCCCAACTTTCCATCAATGTTGACAAAAACTCAACAGCTATCATATTTTGTGTGTTTTTCTCATACAAGAGAGTAAGTGGGATAAACAGAGCTTCTTATCAATTTGGAAAAAGCTAGAAAAATATGCAAGTTTCTGTTAATTTTCTGCCGTTTTCTTGAATGAAAAAAAACGGTGGCACTGATTGAAGATGATTCTTTTTAATTGAATATAAGCTAGCAAAATAAAGCAAAGAATAATATAGCAAAAACCAAAAACCGTGACCACACACGACTCTCGGGTAAGGAGAATGGGAAAAAAGATGATAATTAAATTGACAAGAAGCAACTCGTCAACAAGCAGGAAATCAGGAAACAATCATCACAAGGAAAGAGAGCAGGTAAAGAAATTTGAATTCGCCTAACGATACATTAGCGACATTAATTAGCTACCCATGTAAAAGGAGATGCATATTATAATTGAAACGATCTAGTATGCGTACGTGCATCCCTAAACACATGCGCGGTACCCCACTGAGCCTGCTCAGGGGGCTACCCCAACCTTGTCAAAAACCTTTCCCTCTGTTATTACCCCTTCACGTTCACAGGAAAGAATATCTCTGGTATTTCATTCATTTCACATAGAGCAAAGTGAGATCAAATTAGCAAGAATTGCTTATATTTCATGGTTTAATTTGTAGGCATAGCTGTGGTCGGATTAGCCGCAGCATCGCTTTCGAAGGCTGCTATCACGGCCACGTAATTCGAATAGACACCGGTGATAATCGCGTACACTCCAATGGCCATTAGGATGAGGTTCCAGGAAACTCGGAGTGAGACCTCGAAGGTGCTCTTTGTTGCCTAAACGGATAAAATCATGGTACTTCTTTTAATCATCTCCTCAAATAATATTTTCTTTTCAGACGGATTATATAATAGTCTAAGCTGATTTTGGCATTGATTACTGTAAAAAGTCAAATGGAAGTTGGGGAATTGGTTTATCATGAAAATGAATTCTATTCTTATACCGTATTTTCTCTAATACTAGTGCACCCAAAGCTTTGCCTAAATTGCTTGAAATCTCGAAAACCGCTTATCAGAACCTATTGATGTGGGGTCGGAAAATGTAGCTGACGATGAGATCTTGTGGGGGATTAGAGTACTGAGCTTCTGCGAAACTTCGAAACCGTAAAATAGTCATCAACTCGGCTCGGCGGGGTGCACTACTATTAGGGAAAATACGGTATTAGAAAGAAAAATTGATTTAGTTCATAATAAATCGGGGGCTATGGAGGGTCATATAGTACTAGTCGTTTTTACACTGAAACCACCCAACCTTCCATTCGTTCCAAAAAGTCATCATCTCAAAGAGTGGCGGATAGATGAGGGCACACATCGTCCCACCAGTCACCCCAACCAGAGGGATCATAATGTCCAAATGGGGAATCACCACCGCCATCGCATAGCACAGCAACACCCAAAATAACCTGAAAAACAGAGCAGTTTGGCATAATTGGAAAAAAGAGGGTACTAGTCGATTGTATTTCCCCATCCGAGTTCAGCTGTGCATCAAGTACAGTTTTAACAAGCAATTGCAAACTTTGCAAACAAACCCCCTTATTCGTTTGACTGACTAGTGCCCAACCATGTTAACTCCGCCCCTTTTTCGGTCCATTTGCCGTTGGCAATCTACGAATTTTGCTCGTGCTTTGACCCGGTATGTTTGGAAAACGTTGAATTTGCTTTCATTCGATAGAAAATTTGACTAAGATACGAGAAAAATACGTAGATTTTCAACGGCAAACGGACCGAAAAAGAGGCGGAGTTAACATGCCTGCTAGTGCCTCAAAGAGAGTTTATTTGAGAGGTGATATAGAAAAAAATAGGACATTTATCCAAAAAGAAACTGAATCAGGAAAGGAGTCCTAACCAGTAGCTTTAAAGTTAATATGGTGGTGGTGAAAGTCTCAACTTTTACCTGAATCCTTTGTCGACTATGAACTCGGGAACGCTCTGCCAATTGCCACGAAACCAGGCTACGAAATCGTCAAGGAACATTTCGAAGATCACATATCTATAAATGGTAGAATTGAGTTAATAATCGTAGTTATTCAATCAGAAGACCATCTTTTTACTAATTTGTAAATGTAAACAAACTCACAAAGCGATCGCATTACCGGCAAGTGTCTGTATCATCAAACAAACGTTTACTCCTTGATAGAGTCTGAAAAATTTTGTCGTATTCTCTTTTTCTTCTAATCTTTGTTTCTATTTAACTTACAAGGTCTGCGGCATATTTATGGTGATCGTAGCTTCAACAGCCGAACCATAACCCGCGTAACTGAAAATAAGAAGTGTTTTAATGGTTAAAGAGTAAAGTATATGTTCTATGACTCTGGAAGAGACTTTTAATAGCTTTTCAATGAGGCCAAATAATACCTTATTGTAATAAGCTTCAATTATAATAATCGGCTTAGTGAGAATGCTCCCATGTGGATGGCTTACGAGAATCAGTCTGTCTCATTCATAAACTACAGACTGACTGACAAGGGATTGTCAACTGGGTGTGGTGGTCCAACAACATATGCCACGGATTATTTGACGGAGAATTCAACGTCGATTCTGAATCTGCCTTCCGTTTCTACTATAAGCGTTTCTGGTCTCTGCTATGTGAAAAGTTATAAGCGTGCAAAGTTTAGTATGGGATTTATAACCGCCCCGAGTTTAGACGCAGATTTCCCAGAGACTTTAAGAAGTAGTGGTGGCCGAGTGACAGCGGGTTAGAATACAAGGCAACAGCGGACTCCAACTAGAGAGTCTTTGCCTTGTATTCTAGCCCATTGCCACTCGGTCAACACTGCTTCTTAAAGTCTTTAGGAAATCTGCTTATAAACTCGGGGTGTGGTTTTTGAAAACCCATACTAAACTTTGCAGGCTCATAACTTTTGACAGAGTGCTCCATAGCAGAAACGAAAAACAGATTCAGAATTAGCGTTGAACTCTACGTCGAATAACCCGTGGCACATGTCATGTGGCCATCACACCCAGTTGACATTCCCTTGTGTGTATATTTCCCTAGTTAGTCAGGCCTTGATTTGATTTTGATGACTATCCAATCATAACTAACCCTTAATGATAACCCCCGTCAAAATAGGCTTTCGCAAACTAATATTTAAAAACTGGATGGTTGTCCGGGTGTGCAAGCCAATGATCAGGAGTGGAACTATTAAATATGTAGTACAAAACTCAATATTCATTTGAATTGACTTACCCCACGAGTCCAATAATCCAGATGAAGAAGCCGGCGACGAGCATCGTAATGGGAACAACACCAAACGGGAAGGCCAGCATTTGCTCAGGTTTCTCCAGTTTATTCTCGATAGGCAAAATCTGAATTCAAGTGGTGTTTCCACTGAGTTTTCCAAAACGAACCATCGCCTGTCCCTCGTACGCATACATCAGAATGCCGACCATTTGCATCATATCCGAGAAGCTGTTTCCAACAGCTGGCAATGTTCCCAAATTCTTCCCGAAATCTGGTTGGCGAATCGACTCTTGCATGATCACGATGATTCCGATAAGCAAAAAGAAGGTCGAGATCTGAAAAGAGAATCTCCTTTTGAATCGCATTTTGCGATTCACCATGGCAAAGAAGGCGACAACTCTCATCTTGCTGTACATATTCGTGAATATCGCAAAGAAAAGAACAATTGTGTTGGCGACAAGCATCTAAAATTTATAAACCATTCATTAAGTGGGACTGCGAAATAAGTAATTTATTAGTTTGATTATAGAATTGAAAGCGTGATTGGTCCTTTGCTTTTAGAAAATACTTTAATACGTGAAATACTTTTTTGTAAAGCTTTCTTGTACATATCTTTCAAGTGTACATGGTGGCCCATTATAGCGCCGCACTTCAGAGAACCTAGACTGGTCAAAATTCAGTCAATTGTTCTGATTTTTCTGGAGGTAGGTCCTAAGTATGTCTCCTGGAGCGTCGTACATTATCTGATCAATTCCAGCTTTCAACTTTTTTAAATGCCTTTCCAAAGTTGAGAGCCGAGTTTCGCTCGGCACGCTACTCAGGGAATTTTGAAAGTTTCATTTTTTTGTTAAAAAATCTTTAAGATTTTAATGACTTTCAATTAGTCATATTTACTTATGAAATTTAAAAGCGATAGACCTTGAAAAAATAAGATTTTCGTGTCCTTTAGAAGCTTCTCTTGTTCTTTAGTGGATTCAAGTCAAAACAGGCGATATTAAGTGAGTTTTGATGACATTTCTCAAGAATTTTTGCACTTAAACTGCGTAGAGCATGTGAAATTTCTTTCATTAACATAATAAATTCATTCTCAACGAGACTTTGACGAGATCGCTCTCAAAAATCCCATAAATGAGTAGCGTGCCGAGCGAAATTCGACTCTCAACTTTGGAAGACCATATAAAAAAAGTGAAGGCTTAAATCGATTAGATAATGGGCAACGTTCTAGGAGACATACTTAAGATTTACCTCCAGAAAAAACAGAACGATTGACCCAATTTTGGCCAATCTGGGCCCTCTGAAGTGCGATGCCATAATTGTGAGTCATCCTGTAGAAAAGAATTCTTCCCCGATTAGCTAACCAAACCTGTGTTGCTCTTGTCGGTCCGAGGGCAGTGCCAACGATGCTCACCTAAATTTGAGCTTTCTGGAAAATTTGCAGAATTCCAATTACCATGTTATCCGCAATAAACAAGATGGCCACACTGCCCAATCCAAGCTGATAGCATAGGACGGAAATATTGACACCGATTCTGTAAAAGATCAGGATCAGGATAAGTGACAGATCAGGATGAGTGAAGGTGAAAATTCTATTAAATTAGAAAAACTTGAAATATATCTAGATATCTGGTAAGAAGAATCAAGGCCAGTTAGTAGGGGATCATCCAGATTCATGATTTATATACTTCTTTCTTAATTCCTTCTTTCTACCAATTCATTCACCTTCTTTCTTAATTAAAAAGTCGAAACTCGGGTATTTTTGATGAAATCTTACACCATAGGCGTGGCCACTTTTCGTAGAAACTCGGAATCCGAGTTGTCGCAGAGCTTCCGACAAAAATGCCCATAATCCAGAGCCGGTTTGTTGGATCTGGAGAAGAATTAGATCACTGTTTCTTTTGACGATTTGCGTTTTACTTTTTTGCGAGATGCTGGCTGGATCGGACGAGAATGTGATTCCCATACCAGTTCAAGGCACAAATGACAAACGAGGCCACGAATGAGACCTGGAAATCGAAAATAAGGCTCTTTTCTATTCTCGGCCTCAAAGTATTGAAAAGAAGCAAATAAAAGAAAAGTTCACGAGAGTTTGAATCAGTTTTTCGAACCAAGCAACTCACCCAAAAACCACCCAAATACCAGGCGTATGGCAATGAGAAGGCGCCGGCGTTGACCATCGCTTTTGAGAGACATTGGGCTGCATTAAGGACACTAAAAAGACAAAGCTAATTATTGTGAAGAGAATTAGAATATCTTGAAACATTTTCGGCTGTGCAAAGAGGAGAACTTTCTAGATCTAGTTACACTCGACTCACTCACCCAATTGTATCGCCCTTTCGCGGATCCTCGAAGTCGGCTTTCGATATTGATGAACTACTGAAAGTAGTAGTGTAAGTAAGAAAAGTAGTTTTTTTATTGTTGATAAGTTTCGAGATTACCTAGGCCATGTGATAAATCCCAGTTCAACGAGGAGAACGGAGCTTTTGGGTTTAGTTTTGGTTCGGAAGGGCTACGAATGAAGTTAATTTAAAGAAGCGATTCAAAAAACAACCTTAGAAAACTTGGAAAAAACTTAGAAACTCAGAAGAACCGGAAAGAATTTGCAAATAGCCAATATTAACCGAAAACTCTACCGTTTTTCGTTCGGATACATGGCACCGGGAGTCTCCACTCCGGTCAGCCCGACCACTGACGTCCTCTTTCCCGTCATTTGTTGTTTCACCTGAAAAATATTCCGATACAAAAATATAGGAAACATAAAAAACAACTTAACGAACTGTTCGTTAATTTGTTTTTTATGTTTCTTCTAACTCGGTTGTGACCGAACCCGGCAACTCTATTCAGTTTCAAAGCAGATTTCTACACAAAACAAAGAATGGGAAAACTGTTTTCTCGGTCCTTATAAATAATCTTTAAAAACGCTACCAAAAAGAAGAGAGTTGAACGCAAAATACCCTTTTCTCCATTCTCGTTAAAAAAATTTACTTCTGGAGACAATTGGCCATGTTCTAGGATCAAGTTTTCAAAAATGGTGGCTTGACATGTGCCCATTTAGCTGATTTTAGCCTGGCATGAGAGGCAAGCTTATTATCTTATAGCCAAATTTATACTGAAATGCACTGTAAATTTATTAATATGTTATTTTAAGTTTTATTGTAGCTTTATTACTCATTTTTCTAGACCAAGTTAAGGGTAAAGTGGCATTTATTGAAAATTTAAAGCAAAGCAAGGAATTTAAAGCAAAATTTGGTCCTAAAAGTTAAGCAAGAGGGGACAGAAACAGTTTATGATTCTTTTAAATGAAAAAAATCCCCAACTTTGAGAACAAGAGACCCCTAAATAAAAAAATGGAAAGATTTGAAGCCTGGTTTCCCCGTTCTTATAAGAAATTTTCTATAATTTACTGTACCCAGAAGGAATCATCGAGCCCCACCCCCCTCCCCAAAAAAGAGATCAAGGTGTCCCCTTTTCTCAATTTTTGATATTTCTCACTTTTGGGAACAATGAGCCTTGAATTTTGGTCAGAAATCAACTAACACTTTTTGACACTGTAATGATTTGTGTCACTTGATATTTGCTTGTGTTCTTTTGTTCTTTTCAGGGATGAACAGGGCAAATTGGGTCTTGGCCCTTCACTTTGCGATTAGCCTAAACTAAACCTTTATGACTAAACTAGGCACCTAATACTTAGATAAGAAAGATCTGCAAACACAATTGTTCTACAATTTTTTAGATTCGACCATTTTTTATTTAATTGTTATGTTCTCTAAAAACTAATCTCATTTACAAATGAGATAAACGAAATTATTGAGTACATTACAAGTACGGGTCACCTCCGTCGTTGGTCAAACTCAAGCTTTCAGAAAACCTTTCAAAAAAAGCTCAGACTTCAAAAATCAAACGTTTCATATCAATTAGAACGCCGGGAAATTGCTTAAAAAATCGTAAAGTGAATCGTAAAGTTTTTCTTTCCATTTTCCCGAAGTACAAAAACTAGAAATAAATTTTTTTGATATGTGAGATCTCGAAAAAAGGGCACAACCCCGTACGGGCCACTATAATAAACCAATTAGGGAGGGGGCTGCACAAGAGAGGACGGAAAGTACTCAAAATCTGTCTAGTGACCCTTTCTCCCCGCTGTTCAAAAGCTTAGAATTTGAGCTATTGAGAATTCTGAGATGATCGAAAGTTGGCACAAATTACCGTAAACAGTAAAAGTGGGTACGAGAGATTCTAAACAGTCGAACTTCGACATAACGAACTCGATTCAACGAAACGTTCGATATAACGAGTACTATTTTTGGTTTTACCTTAAAAAGACCTTCGATACAACGAACACTTCGATAGAACGCACTTTTAGCCGGTTCCTTGAGGTTCGAGATATCCAGATTGACCGTATTACGTTTCAAAATGTTAAAAAAGATCAAAATTGACTGCAAAGAGCACAATCAGCTTTCAATTTCAAGAAACATTTTAAAAAAAGCAAATTAACACCATGATTTCTTCTCACAATTCAAATGGCTTTGCTTTTATTAACAAGATTTTAGTCTACGTGTTTTCTAGCTGGTATCAAAGTAAAATACAAGAAACAATAAATGTACAAAATAAAATTTTAAGCAGATATTTTTTAGATAAAGGTTTTGGACGATAAATGCTTTTTGATGGATTTTCAAGTAAGGACAAATCAAGTGTTATGTGGAATATTTATGGTAATCTCTTATCTTGCACAATGTCCGGAAGTTCATTACCTCAAAAACTGCGCTACTGATTCTTCCGAGAGAGCTGAAATAATCAAAAGTTGATTTATTGACATCACAATCGGTATGAGCATTCTAGAACTTTATTCCCCTTTTCTCAAAACTATCCTGATAACAAAACGGTGAGTTGCCTTAGATTCTTTCGTTTTAGAAATTCAAGTCACTTCCAATAATTTTTTATATAACTCTTTTCCAGTAAAAACTGCCAGAATTTGAAATCTACTCTCCAGAGTTTTGCGAAAATCCAATAGTCTTGAAGTCTTTAAATTATCTGTAGATGATCTTGATCTTGTAGGTTTAGTGAACTCTTCACTTTATCTGTCCTACTCATTTATTAAATACATTATATCGTGTTGCTGTTCATCGGTGCGTTTTATGTTCATGTGTATTAAACTAACAAACAAACAAATCAAGAAGCCATTGCTATTGATAAAAATCTAAAGCTCTTATAGATCTCGTGTATTCAAGCATGAAAAATCTCTCAATCTCTGCCCCGAACAACAATTCCTCTGGCTCGTAAGCTGCCTGGATTGCTTATTATGGAAATGGGACTTTTTAGAGTTTTTTTAGGTTTTAAGATACGCTCTTTCTAATAGAAAAGGATTAATAGTTGTAGCGAGGTTGAAAATACAAAATTCGCTATTTTAAGGGGTGCGCTTAAGAATTTAAAACGCACTGTAGTTATTATAGCTCTCATAATCGATTTTTAGGAGACCAATTTTAGTAAAGTTTTAGTATTAATCAAATTTTTTGTTGAATGCTAGTAACTAAACGGTCAAAACTGATCTAACCATGGTTTTCAGAGTAGTATATTTTTAACTTTCGAGAATATGTGTTCCATAATTATGTCATTCAAAAAAGTGTCGACTACTGCGAATCAACCTTACAACTGTTCTTTTTAAGAATTCAAAAGCTAATAGTAGTTTTTTAGCCTAGGTCTATCCATAGAATCCCCACAAGGGGGGTCTAAAGTCAAGATTTCGAGGGGTCAGGGGATGTTATTCTATTAGAGGGTGCCATTCTATTAGTGGGTGTCATTTTAATACAGCATTTACTGTATATTGCTTTTCAACGAAACTGATCTCACTGACTGATCAAAAGGTGTGTCAAAATTTTGACCGAGACCGAGAAACAAGAAAAAACAAGGGGAGATCCCTGTCCTTTCGAGATCTGTTCTTATTGACCATTTTTCTCAGAAAAAAACAAATTTCTAGTCTAAAAGAGGATAAATTTCGATGTTTTTCGTTAAACTTTTCTTTTTTTCGAAAGATCTTTATTGTCCCGAACTAAAGGTCAAAATCTTCACTGATCATAAATGTGTTTGGTGTTTTTTAAGGGAAATTCGCCACTTTTATTTAAAAACAAAATAATAGAAACTAGTTTCGAATTTTTCCTGGGTCCGTATAAATAGGGAATGATTTGAATGGGAAAGTAACAAGTCCGAAAATGAGGAATTCCCTCCTGATCCTGTGTGCTCTTGTCGTGGCCGTCGCGTTGGCGTGAGTTCGATTTCCTTTAAAAAAATGAATTTAAAAAATGAATTACTGTAGGAAATATTAATAAACTTTAGAATTAATATTCTAACTTCTTTGTTGCTAGCAGTTTCGTCTTTATTTTATTAGAAAAAAGCTAGAATAAGCTATTATAAAAGCATTAGACGATCACCTGGAACCCTAAGCCTTATTTAATGCTTTTTCATAATCCAACTAATGAAGTTAGCAGTTACTTAAGAACGTTGACTTCTTAAGGTTTGGATCTCATTCACATTTTTATTCACAGCTTAATTCAATTCAACTTTTAAGCGATTATGGCGCTAATCGGAAGAAGAGATGGTGTGACAACACGATTTGCGTCGATAAACGGTAGGAAAGATCTGATACTCTAATTAACAAGATATTTAATGAATGGGCCTCAAGGAGCCAAAAAAATTTAAACTTATGTTTCAACTACTTATTCAAAAATTTGAGAGAGGCCACTCCAGAGGGAAAGAGCGCCCGTGTCGAACGAGGATATGGATACGCTAAACGGTTGGTAAAAATGGTTTGTTGGTGGTTTTGAAGAATTGTTAAATAATGGCTTAGTAAATCGGCGAATACCGTAAAAGTCGTAATAGTAGCTTCGGGGACTAGTCCTGTAAGAATCGGGCCATCGGTCAAATCAGCTGGTCGTCAGTACCACTTGGATCAATTTCAACACCACAGAGTTGAAGCAACGACGAATGACTTCTTTCGAAATTATATCCCAAACATCAGCAACCCATTTTAATTTGATTTTGATTCAAAAAGGACCGACAGATATTTTTGTTACAAGGGTAGTATACATAAGGTTTATTGGTGGTGGATGTTTGATACAATGTTTATACCTAACTAGCAAGCTTAGTAAGATATTTCAGTAACTATTAATACTCCTTTCCATAACTGAGGCCTCATTTAGAGAAGCAGAGCGAGAGAGCGCCCGTGTCGAACGGGGATATGGCTACGCTAAACGGTTTGTAACATACATCAGAATAAAAAACTCTTTTTTCAGTGAGGCTCTAAAGGAAGGAGCTCGTTTCGAGAGAGGATACGGATACGCCAAACGGTTTGCTACATAGAACCTCGTTGAGCTCTATCCCTTTTTAGAGACACCGATCGTGTGGAGAGGGGATACGGCTACAGACTCAAACGGTTGGTTCAGCAGAATTAAGATACTCTGGAATTGTTAAGTGTAAACTAAAGCAACCAGGGAGCAGAACATGAACATTGACCTAGTACATGTTCTAGATTTACCCCGATAACCTTGACTTTTCAGAGAGACACCAGAAGAGGGTGCTCGAATCGAGAGAGGTTACGGCTACGCTAAGCGGTTCGTTCGAAAAGACTTTGCCAAAGAAATGGATATAGACGGATATAGACTCAAAGATATATGAACATATTCGTATATGATATTCTAGTTCTAGAGCTTGTTTATTCAAAACTTAGCGTCCCAAAAAATATTTGTTTTCAGAGAGGCACCAGAAGCAGAGGGTGCTCGAGTCGAGAGAGGTTACGGATACGCAAAGAGGTGGGTAATTAGCCAGATCAACGTATCTTGTTTATTCTAGATTTAGAATCCCAAAGAACATTCTTTTTCAGAGAGGCACCAGAAGCAGAGGGTGCTCGAGTCGAGAGTGGTTACGGATACGCAAAGAGGTGGGTAATTAGCCATATCAACGTACTAAAATTAGAATTTTATGCTATCGTCAATATTTTGGCGTCAGTAGGTATTTCTGGAAGGTACATATTCGTATATGATATTTTAGTCCTAGTGCCTGTTTATTCTAGATTTAGTGTCCCAAAAAACATTCTTTTTTTCAGGGAGGCACCAGAAGAAGGTGCTGCTCGAGTCGAGAGAGGTTACGGATACGCAAAGAGGTGGGTAATTAGCCATATCAACGTACTGAAATTATAATATTATGCTATCGTCAATATTTTAAACTTGCTAAAAGGACTATACCTTAAAATTTTACAAATTCTGATTTCCCTTTTTTCAGAGACGCCGATCGTGTCGAGCGAGGCTACGGATACGCGGCTTAAATAAGCTTTTCAAAGATTCCAAAAAGCCTAGCTTCTCAATAGCAAACTTTTGTGAGACTTGTAGTTGCTTTTTGCCAGTAATAAACGTATTAATGCAATGGATTGATAAAAATATCCGGAAAATCTCAGTAAAAAGGCTTAAAATAAGAATTCTTTTTATTTTACCAGTGAACCTAATCGAAAAATTATCGAAGAGTGGTGAAAAAGGAAAAAAATGGCAAAACTTCCCGTTGACTCAGCTTCTCCAAATAGAAAATGCTACATATATGGTCTGATCAGAAAATTTTGCATATAATTTGCTTTAGAAAACATTGACAATATTCATATGAATAATTATATTAAACACGTCGCCCGCGAAGAACAGAGTTAATAAAGAGGAAACCTTTAGACTGAACTAAAGAAAAAAGGTCATCAGATGGAAAGACAATCATCGATACAACCGAGCTAAAACTGGGGGAAATAGTAGATTTTCAATTCCTTTCAAGAACTTAACTATAGCCATGATGATGTTCCATGTTTTCATAAACTTAGAACTTTATCCTACAACACTGACTTTTGCTTAGGAAATTTCAATTATCATAGCAAATAGAAATCTGGTCAATGAACATCATTAACAATAATTGGATGATTTGCTGCCTGTCGTGCTCACTGTAAGGTGCGTTGCAAAATGATAGGACCACCCCTAAATTTAACATTTTTTGGCTACGAGATTTAATAACGCGAAATAGCTTTTAAATCCTAGAAATATATACAAAAATAGGCATCTATACCATTTTTAACATTATCTGAACAAATTGCAACAAAATTATAACATTTTCTTTATTTAACACCTGTTGCGAAATGATAGGACCACATAAAAAGTAACAGTAAATTTGAGAATAAACAAAAAAAAAATGAAAAGTTCATTTATAATCAATAGATGCTCCCTTTCCATTAGCATAAATATTCCTCACGAGGATGCCCCATAAGTTTTCCATTGGGTTTAAGTTCGGTGAGCAGGCAGACCATTCGAGAAAATCGAAGTTGTGAAGTTCCAGAAAAGTTTTAGTGGATTGGCTGACATAAATTGAAGCATTATCCTGTTGAGAAATATAGTGTTTCCCTCGATTTTGTGCTAGGAAAGGAAGTAGTTGATCCACAAGGACATCCTGGTAATCGTTCGAGTTCATGCGACAAGTCACAAATTTTCAATCAAGAGCGTCATCCACATTGAAAGCGCCCCATATCATCAGTGATCCTCCTCCGAAGTTTTGACGCCCACAAAGCATTGAATCTTTTCTCAAATCGTGCCAATGGTACTTGTTGCCGTCGGGACCATCCAAATTAAATTTTTTCTTATCGCTGTAGATGGCCCACAAAGAAAAAAATAGTTAACAACTCAAGGCAAAAAGTTTACTTTTTTCCAATCGATGGTGATGTGATCCCGAGCCCAAGACATCCTTTTTTCTTTGTGTGCCGGCTTCAGTTTTGGTGCTTTCTTCATGATTACTCTTTTGATGTAATAGATGTAACACTTGATGGCTCGAGAAAGCGTGCTTTTGTGGACGGGGGCTCCGATTTGTACCTTGACATCCGATAGCGACATCACCGAATTCGACAACAGACGTCCCATATGCCGTTCAGCGCGGACCGTGAGCTTTCGATGGCGTCCCGGAGACTTTTTCTTGTCGTACTTGAAAGGATCCCTCAAGAAATTTGAGACGTCTTGGTGCGAGCGCTTTATTTTTTTGCGATCTTTCGATTCGACAACTTTCTTCCTTTCAAAATCAAAATTTTCATCTATTCGATCCGCGAAAGCGATTTTCCATCTTCCTAAGAAATAAAAATCAGCAAAAAGTAAGCAAAAAAACATGGTTATTACAGGTAGAAAATCAAAAAGAGATGTAGTGGTCCTATCATTTAGCAACGGGTGTAAAATCAAGAATGCTTAAAAAATTTTGCCTTGTAAAGTAAATTGTTTGCCAAAAGTTATTTGGGCGTACTTTGTATATAAAATTCGAATTTAAGCATCATTTTACATTTTTAGTTATTTAAAATCAAAAAATCGCAAAAATCGAGGGTGGTCCTGTCATTTTGCAAAGCACTGTATCAGCCTTCTTGTTACCTTTTTACAAGAAATTTCCCGATAACACTTTAGAATGCTCAAAACTTGCTCACTTCAGCTCTTCTCGTCTTTTTCTACCTGTCGTTGTGTTCTTGCACCAAAGATCGAATGAATGGAAAGACGATTCCCTCACAAGCGAGTTTCCCCGAGAAAACACTTCATCCAAAAGAAATGGTGGGCAAATGAAATTTGACTTCTTATATTAGTTACAGTTGACTCTTGAGAAATTTTTGTCCACTATTTTAAATGAGAATTTCGTTTTCGGGGCCAGTCATGTTAACTCCACCCCTTTTTCGGTCTGTTTACCGTTGGCAATCTACGTATTGTGTGTTCCATACAACGCCACGGTTGGGTTTTCCTTCATCGTTTAGCATATCCGGGTGCAGGATTTTACAGTCAAAAATGATCGACTCAACCCTCTAAACTTTAGCCAATGATTCACCCAGCTGATCCGTGCCAAACCTGTGACCACATCGTTCAGGCAGCTTTTGCTTACACAACAGACACCGAGGAACAAATGCAAAAAGATCTTCTCGGGATCAACTACTTTTTAAGTAATAACCAGTAGAAATCGTTGAATCTCTTAAGGTTAGATTAGGTTGTTTTCCATGATCAAAAATGATCTCGGATTTAGTTAATGACTAGGCAGGCAGAGGTGATCAGTTAAGCTAATGGAGATAACCTGGCTCTCAATGCTATCCCAGCCTTAATTAGAAATCGGCATCGAGTTACTTTTTCAGGCCCTTCATGTCCATCAACTCTGTTGTTCGGGGGCGACGTGTTTAATATAATTATTCATATAAATATTGTCAATGTTTTCTAAAGCAAATTATATGCAAAATTTTCTGATCAGACCATATATGTAGCATTTTCTATTCGGAAAAGCTGAGTGAATGGGAAGTTTTGCCATTTTTTCCTTTTTCACCACTCTTCGATAATTTTTTGATTAGGTTCACTGGTAAAATGTGATTGAATTCTTATTTTGAGCCTTAATACATTTATTACTGGCAAAAAGCAACTACAAGTATCACAAGAGTTGGCTATTGAGAATCTAGGCTTTTTGGAATCTTTGAAAAGCTTATTTAAGCCGCGTATCCGTAGCCTCGCTCGACACGATCGGCGTCTCTGAAAAAAGGAAATCAGCATTTGCAAAATTTTAAGTTGCAGCCCTTTTAATAAATCTAAAATATTGACCATAGCATAATATTATGATTTCAGTACGTTGATATGGCTAATTACACACCTCTTTGCGTATCCGTAACCTCTCTCGACTCGAGCAGCGCCTTCTTCTGGTGCCTCTCTGAAAAAAGAATGTTTTTTGGGATTCTAAATCTAGAATAAACAAGATACGTTGATGTGTCTAATTACCCACCTCTTTGCGTATCCGTAACCTCTCTCGACTCGAGCAGCGCCTTCTTCTGGTGCCTCTCTGAAAAAAGAATGTTTTTTGGGATTCTAAATCTAGAATAAACAAGAACCAGAATATCATATACGAATATGTTCATATATGTTTGAGTCTATATCCGTCTATATCCTTTTTTGGCAAAGCCTTTTCGAACAAACCGTTTAGCGTAGCCGTAACCTCTCTCGATTCGAGCACCCTCTTCTGGCGTTTCTCTGAAAAGTGAAGGTTATCGGAGTAAATAGAACATGTACTAGGTCCATGTTCATGTTCTGTTTTTTGGGATTCTAAATCTCGAATAAACAAGAACTAGAATATCATATACGAATATGTTCATATATGTTTGAGTCTATATCCGTCGATATCCTTTTTTTGGCAAAGCCTTTTCGAACGAACCGTTTAGCGTATCCGTAACCTCTCTCGACTCGAGCAGCGCCTTCTTCTGGTGCCTCTCTGAAAAAAGAATGTTTTTTGGGATTCTAAATCTAGAATAAACAAGATACGTTGATGTGTCTAATTACCCACCTCTTTGCGTATCCGTAACCTCTCTCGACTCGAGCAGCACCTTCTTCTGGTGTCTCTCTGAAAAAAGAATGTTTTTTGGGACTATAAATCTAGAATATACAAGATACGTTGATATGGCTAATCACACACCTCTTTGCGTATCCGTAACCTCTCTCGACTCGAGCAGCACCTTCTTCTGGTGTCTCTCTGAAAAAAGAATGTTTTTTGGGACTATAAATCTAGAATATACAAGATACGTTGATATGGCTAATTACCCACCTCTTTGCGTATCCGTAACCTCTCTCGATTCGAGCAGCACCTTCTTCTGGTGTCTCTCTGAAAAAGAATGTTTTTTTTGGGATTCTAAATCTAGAATATACAAGATACGTTGATATGGCTACTTGGGTGTCTGATCTTTAAGTCTATATCCGTCTATATCGATGTTTTCAAAGTCTTTTCGAACGAACCGTTTAGCGTAGCCGTAACCTCTCTCGATTCGAGCACCCTCTTCTGGTGTCTCTCTGAAAAGTCAAGGTTATCAGGGTAAATCTAGAACATGTACTGGGTCAATGTTCATGTTCTGCTCCCTGGTTGCTTTAGTTTGCACTTAACAATTCCAGAGTATCTTAATTCTGCTGAACCAACCGTTTGAGTCTGTAGCCGTATCCCCTCTCCACACGATCGGTGTCTCTAAAAAGAGATAGAGCTCAATGAGGTTCTATGTAGCAAACCGTTTGGCGTATCCGTATCCTCTCTCAAAACGGGCTCCTTCCTTTAGAGCCTCACTGAAAAAAGATTTTTTTATTCTGATGTATGTTACAAACCGTTTAGCGTAGCCATATCCCCGTTCGACACGGGCGCTCTCTCGCTCTGCTTCTCTAAATGAGGCCTCAGTTATGGAAATGAGTAGTAATAGTTACTGACATGTCTTTCTAAGCTTGCTAGTTAGGTATAAACATTGTATCAAACATCCACCACCAATAAACCTTACTACCATTGTAACAAAAACATCCGTCGGTCATTTTTTGAATCAAAATCAAATTAAAATGGGTTGCTGATGTTTGAGATACAATTTCGAAAGAAGTCATTCGTCGATGCTTCAAAAGTTGAAATTGATCCAAGTGGTACTGACGACCAGCTGATTCACTGTTTTAAGCCCGATTAAGTAACTCTTAACTTCATAAGTTTGATTATGAAAAAGCATTAAATAAGGCTTAGGGTTCCAGGTGATGGTCTAATCCTTTTACAATAGGTTATTCTAGCTTTTTTTTCTAATAAAATAAGGATGAAACTGCTAGCAACAAAGAAGTTAGACTATTAATTCTAAAGTTTATTAATTTATCCTACAGTAATAGGCCAAGAAATCCATTTTATAAAGAAAATCGAACTTACGCCAACGCGACGGCCACGACAAGAGCACACAGGATCAGGAGGGAATTCCTCATTTTCGGACTTGTTACTTTCCCATTCAAATCATTCCCTATTTATACGGATCCAGGAAATATTCGAAACTAGTTTCTATTATTTTGTTTTCAAATAAAAGTGGCGGATTTCCCTTAAAAAACACCAAACACATTAATGATCAGTCAAGATTTTGACCTTTAGTTGTTCACGACAATGAAGAAGACCTTTCAAGGATTTAACGAAAAACATTGAAATTTATCCTCTTTTGGGTATTCCTCTTTTCGACTAGAAATTTGTTTATTTCTGAGAAAAATGGTCAATAGGAATAGATCTCGAAAGGACAGAGATCTCCCCTTGTTTTTTCTTGTTTCTCGGTCTCGGTCAAAATTTTGACACACCTTTTGATCAGTCGGGGAGAGAGTTCAGTTTGATTGAAAAACAATATACTAGACATGAGCATCGGGTCGGGTCAAAAGTGACCCGCCGACCCGACCCGCGACCCGGCTTTGTTGGACCAATGCCAACCATCTTTTCTAAATGAAGATGGGCACTATAAATGACAAAAATGACGAACTGTCACACTACAAAAACTTCTAACTGGCTTCAAATCTGTCGCATTGACATGAACTATAACACAAGAAATAGAGATTCTCAAGTGCTTTTGAATGGACTAAACTACTTCCAAAATATCATTGCTAAAGAAAGTTAAAGTGGTTTGTAGTCTTGTCGAAACGGACCGTACTAGCACGTAGTCGAAACGATACAAACCACTATAACTTTCTTTAGCATTGGATGTACTCTAGTCCATTCGAAAGCACTTGAGATTCTCTATTTTTTGAGTTATAGTTCATCTCAATGCGACAGATTCGAAGCCAGTTAGAAGCGTTTGTAGTTTGTAGCGCCCATGTCTAAACTGCGACCTCTCATTTTCTTGACTGAATACTTTATGCTTAGTTTATAAAGGCTGCGATGCTCTTTCACATTTATCATTTTTTGCGTGCATGAAAATTATTGTTATGGTTAATTTGGCTTTTTTATTTCACTAAACATTCAGTAAACTTTATTTTTTAGCAATGTCCTCAATCGCTCGATCGTTATTCGCAAGAATTGGCGACGAAGATGTGTGTAACCTCTGCAAGACCAAATACAAAAGAGGCAAAGAAGGCGGTACGAAAAACCTGGACGATCATCTCAACAGTAAACACAAAGAAATTTATGAGGAGACCAAAACAAAGTAAGTTTTAGTATTAAATGCTCTCAAACTTCTGTTTTTAGGCAGGCTAAAGAAAAGCCAAGAGTTTTGCCTATTACAACTTTCTGTGCTAAGGAAAAGCAATTTGAAACCTTTTTTATTTTTTATGCGGTTAACCTTTTTTAGCCGAGTTTTTTTTGCAGTCCCAATATACCTTTTAACGTTGTATTTTTTTGTAGACTTACAATTTCAAAGAAAAGGTGAGGTCGGAAGCAAAAGCTTTAATGGGCTGTGCGGGATACTTGCTCAGAAACGGCCATTCAGGCCAATATCCAGAGGAAAACTAACGCGTATCATTGAAAAGCGAGCACAAGAAATAAAAAGCGAGGTCTAAAAATTACGATTCATTACATTAATTGTTTCTCATTTAAAGAAAAACTACTTGAAAAATGCTGATAATGTAGCATTAACAACGGACCCAAGCTCCAGTTCTAATTGTGAATAGGCATTGCAGGTTTTTTTTTTTCACTTTTGTTCACTCAATTCATTTTTGTTTAGGTTGTGACCACCCATATTGTAGACGGCCAAGACGGCCTCAAGAAAAGTTTACTAATGGATGCTTTTCCGCTGTTGTCTAAGTAATAAGTTTGCTTATACCTAGCTCCTCAAAATTGGCTTAAGAAAAAGCATAGACATGGCTGCCGACTTAAAAAACAAAAAAAAATGTTGAGTGGGTGTCGTAACCGATACCCACTCAACATTTACCTGTAAATTTTTATGGGTATCGGTTATCTTTTGACTGAGCTACACCCTGCAGAGTACTTATGAGTAATTATGAGCAGCCTATAGAAAAAATAGTGACAGTTTGCGCTATCGTTGGACACCTTTATTTATTCGAGTATTAGATAGGAGCTGATCCGAAATAAAGAGAGTGACTATGATTTCGAAATGTAGAGCAATTTTCTTCAAATGGTGATCACTGGACCTCTAGAAATAAATTTATAACATAAATAGGATTAGGCAAATGAGTTTCGCGGTGCTTGATATTGCAACAAGGTTAGAGGTCGTTCATTTCTCGATAATCCAGCTGTATCACGTGATCAAAACATCAGAAGAATTGTAAATCCGTCAAGAAAAGCAAAAATTCGCATAAATTCCAAGTGTAAAAAGGGATTTTCGGAGCAACCAGTGTAAATAGGGTCAATATAAAAGGTAAAGCAAACAATGAACAGCACTTTTCAAAATTTTCGTAAAATGAAGCACATTTCGTATTTAAATCTTCTGATTCTTATCGTGAGCATCAACTTCATGGCGGCAGATGGTAAGTTGATGAGCTGAAGAATTTTTGATTAGATTAGACGACGAGCCCCTTGTATAGACGGCTCTCCTCATCCCCAGCTACCTCGAAGACTGACCTAGATAGCTCTGAAGTGGTTAAATGGATGGATTAGGCATAAAAGATGATACTTAGATCATGGCAATAAAATAAATTGACAACAGAACAATTTAGAGTGTAAAGCATTTTTTGAAAAAAATTTTGAGGGTCCTCCACATGAATTTTTGGAGTTCGACCCTAAATATGGCTTGGGTGGAAAAATGGTTTTCCTTTCAGACATGTTTTTTCCTCTAGATCAATATCGGGTATAAATTTGCGATAACTAAAGATGGGGGTCTATTCAAGGGGAGGAATGCGGTATCTAAAATACTACTTATTTGTTCAGAAGAGCCGCTGCAACCCAATATCGGACCGATCCCCCCGTTCACTGTCCCACCATTTACTTTTGCAACCATCCCTCCAATCTCCAAGTGTTGTGGTGGAGTGATATGTGGACCCAATGAGATTTGCAACTTTTGTGGAGTTGTGTGCGAACAAATCTGTGGAAAACCGTTAAAGGTTTGTGCTAATATTGGGTTGATGAGTATAAAAGATTGAATTTTCTAAATTAACTCAATACGACATTTGAGCATGATTTTTTACAAATTTAGCTGCTTGCAGACTAGAAGTCAAGCTATCACTAGAAATCATGCTATCGCTAAAAGTCAAACTTTGAGTGATTTCCATGGTGGAACAGGTAAGATCGAGTGTTCACAACGTGATCCATGATCAATTTCAGGTCAACTTTTTTCAGTTGTCGCACCATGAAATTAACTTAAATTTTAAGCATAGTATCGTTGAATGTTCTCTATTCAATTCAAAAAAAGTTATGAACTTTATGATGAGACACAGATTTGAATGGGGTATGAATATGGGCTACGTTATGAAAGCCATGTCTAAACCAAACAATCTGTTGGTTTTTTGCCTACAGTCCTTTTGCGGCTTTTAAACTTTGTAATTGCTCTCATTTTAATCTTACAATTTCAGCCATGTCCGAAGATTTGCCCGATCGTGCCACGAGGTGTTTGTCAATGCAAGCCTGGATACTGTCGTAGTGTGCATGGTTATTGTCTCCGAAAATGCACCACACGAATTGATCAATTGGCTAATTGATCAGCTAATTTTCGTTTTTTCTCGAGAGAATCTTTCGCTTTAAGTTTTCATTTGTTATCGGTTGTATATTCTTAGTATTTACCCACAGTCAATATGTAAATACATGAAGTTTTGAGCCTGTGTTATTGTTGGGAAATGATTATTTCTTTGTTCTTTGTGTCTTAACATTTCCTAAGATTTTTTGCGCGACATTGTATTTTGTCTTTTGGTGTCATTCAGTTCACTTTCCTTCTCTTTGATTCTTGAATTAGAGTGTTTATAATATTTTCAAAGTTTCTTCTTGATTGCTGTCATCAATAAACCATAAACGTATCAATATTCTACCTTCTATTATCAACTGCATAACAGCAACAGTCGAAGGGGGAGGAGAGAACAAATATCCACAACCGGGCCGGCCCGTACGGGGCAGGGACGGCGGGGGTGGAGAGCAAGGAAGACAGGGATCCCCAGTTCAATCAAAATAGGCTTATTTCTTTGAGACTTAACAATAAGCGAGTACTCAGGTGGTTTCTGGCAATCTATGATTTTTATCTGGAAGATCGGCAAGCTCTGCAGTCAATCAAAAGAAAAGATCTCTCTGCTCAACCTTCCACCACACCAGTTGATGTATACATATATCAACTATATACTATTAGAATGGCAACTTGAAGTTGAGAACACTTATTCATTGCACTTTTTAGAAACAACTAGTGCATCGATTAATCTAGAGTTGTTACCGATAAAAAGGCCTGTTTATTTTCTGAAACAGGCTCTTAACAGACTTAGAAAATCTTCGATTTTATAGGTTTCTAAGGGCAGGAAGTTGAGGAACCAAAAATGATGAACACTCGACGAAGCAATTTGAGCACTTTCTTCCACATAAACCTATTTTGATGTTAATAGAAAAAAGATAGAGCTTGAAAAGTTAGGCATAGAGCCGAATTCTCAGCTCGATTTCTCTAATTGCTTTAGTTATATATATATATACTTTATCCGACAAGGAAAAGTGACAATGCAAACAGATTGAACAGCGTAGACGAAGAAAGATAATTGATATACAAACACAACTACAATTAGACACGTGTATATATGACATTAAAAACTAATTTAAAATTGACAGAGCTACAAGATCGAGCTTATATATTGAGGATTTAAAATAGTTCAGAGACGAAAAAATATCACAAGGTAACTTATTCCAAATACGAGGAACACGACAAGCAAAAGAATGATACAGTTGGCGGTTATGAAAGCTTTGAAAGGGGGTAATCTGAAAGTTGTGACTACGAGTTCTTCTGGCGTGATTCGAAATCTTAAAGAGTCCTTTAAGTTCCGGATGAGAGTTAGGAGAGAAGATGATTTTATAGCATAAGACCAAATCAAAATAAATGCGGCGATGGGATAATGGTTTAAGGTCAAAAAGAGCAAGTCGATCAGAATAGCAAGGAATTTCTTTCGATGGGAAACAACGGGCATACGCCCTCCTACTGAAACGACGCTGAACGTTCTCAACCAAAGAAATTAACTTTTGGAGGCAGGGAGACCAAACAAAAGTGGCGTACTCGAGCAAAGGGCGGCAGTAGGTAATGAACGCTTTACGATAAGTAGCAATTGAGGGAAAACAAACAGCGCGAAGTATAAGGTTTGAGATGCGAAAAGCTTTTTTTGCCATCTGTTCAATATGAGTGTTGAATTTAAGAGAGGAAACAAGTAAAACACCAAGATCTTTGATTGGGTCGTCAGAAGTGGCTTCAGATAAAGTGATATTCCCTAACTTAAGAGTAAAATGGGAAGGACCAAATGTTACTTGTCTACATTTTTCGACGGCAATTTTCAGCTGCCAGGTTATGCTCCATTTTAGGATCGAGTCTAAATCTCTCTGAAGATAATAAAGACCATATTGGGTGTTTGATCGGGGGATTTTGCGATAAAGTTTTAAATCATCTGCATAGAGACGCACCATGGTACCGGGAGTTAAAGAACTATGAATATCGTTGATATAAATAAGGAAAAGTAGAGGACCTAAAACACTCCCTTGCGGAACACCACTAGAGATGGTAAACTCGTTTGAGAGTGTATCACCGATACGAACACGGAAAGTACGACGGGAAAGCCAATTTTCGATCCATTTAACTATAAGCGGAGAAATACCTAAGGAAGTAAGCTTGGCTAGAAGGAATCGATGATTTACAGAATCAAAAGCCTTGGCAAAATCAATAAAAATACAGCAGGTTTGAGATTTGCGCGCTTTGGCCCACAACCAGTCGTGAATTGACAAAATTAATTGATCAGAGGTAGACCTAGACTTAAGAAAACCAAACTGATTTTGGTTAAGAATTTTGTTGTTATGTTAGTTATATGTCTGCTTGAAAAATTTTCAGAAAAACACGAACATCTACGCAAATTCATTACAGAACGTACCTAAAGTACTCGTGCCGATTTCAAAGTACTCGCGGTTATCCTTGCTCGATTTCTTCACCATAACCGAAATGGTCACCGCGGTCTGCCATGTTTTGGCATAAGTTAAATAAATGTTCTTATTTCCGTCAAATAAAATGTTCTAATACATACGATTTGACACTTACAACGGGAAGACCTAAAGTCAGCCTCGAGTTTTGCCATAGAAAATGACCTTGAGTCTAGAGCCACTTATGAGGCCGCCACGCGCTCCCCTGACAACTGCTTTAGTGGTTCAGTGGATAGTCTGCTGCACTAGGTTTTGTACCAAACGTATAACAACAGATTAGAAAGACTAGTGACAGTTCGCGTTATCGTTTAACGCCTTTAGTCATTCGAGTATTAGATGGGAGCTGCTCCAAAACAAAAAGAAGAAAAACTATGTTTTCGAAATGTAGAGCAATTTTCTTCAAATGGTGTGCAACCGATCACTGGAACTCCAGAAATAAATTTATAACATAAATAGGATTAGGCAAATGAATCTCGCGGCGCTTGATATTGCAACAAAGTGCTGCAGCAAGGTTAGAGGTCATTCATTTCTCGATAATTCCCGCTGTATCACGTGATCAAAACACCAGAGAATTGTAAATCCAATCAACAAAAGCAAAAATTCGCATAAATTCCAAGTGTAAAAAGGGATTTTCGGGGCAACCAGTGTAAATAGGGTCACTATAAAAAGTAAAGCAAACAATGAACAGCACTTTTCAAAGTTTTCGCAAAATGAAGCACATTTCGTATTTAAATCTTCTGATTCTTATCGTGAGCATCAACTCCATGGCGGCAGATGGTAAGTTGATGAGCTGAAGAATTTTTGATTAGATTAGACGACGAGCCCTTTGTATAGACGGCTCTCCTCATCCCCAGCTACCTCGAAGCCTGACCTAGATAGCTCTGAAGTGGTTAAATGGATGGATTAGGCATAAAAGATGATACTTAGGTCATGGCAATAAAATAAATTGCCAACGGAAAAAATCTAAAGTGTAAAGCATTTTTTGAAAAAAATTTTCAGGGTCCTCCAAATGAATTTTTGTAGTTCGACCCTAAATATGGCTTGGGTGAAGAAATGGTTTTACTTTCAGATTTTTCCTCTAGATCAATATCTAGGTCCAAATTTGCGATAACTCAACTAGAGATGGGCGTCATCTATTCAAGGGGAGGAATGCGGTACCTAAAATACTACTTATTTGTTCAGAAGATCCGCTGCAACCCGATATCGGGCCGATCCCCCCTTTCACTCTCCCACCATTTACTCTTCCACCATTCACCCTGCCGCCATTCACTCTTCGAACCATCCCTCCAATCTCCAAGTGTTGTGGTGGAGTGATATGTGGACCCAATGAGATTTGCAATTTATGTGGAGTCGTGTGCGAACAAATCTGTGGACAACCCGTAAAGGTTTGTGCTAATATTGGGTATGAAAGTTTGTCTCGAATTTTTGGTACTAGACTTGGTACGATAAATAGTCACCGAGATTTCTTATAAATTTTGCCCGATATTACTACAGTCCCTTTTAAATTTTGAAATTGTTCTCATTTTAATCGTTCAATTTCAGCAATGTCCGAGGATTTGCCCGATCTTGCCCATATCGCGAGGTGTTTGTCAATGCAGGCCTGGATACTGTCGTAGTGTGCATGGTCAGTGTCTCCAAAAATGCCCTAAACAGATCGGACCAATTGGCTGATTGATCAGAAAATTCAAAAAGAAAATTTTCATTTTTTCTCGAGAGAATCTTTGATTTTTCATTTGTTATCGGTTGTATATTCTCAGTATTTACCCACAGTCAATATGTAAATACATGTAATTTTTAGTCTCTGTCATTGTTGGGAAATGATTATTTCTTTGTTCTTTGTGTCTTAACATTTCCTAAGATTTTTTGGCGCGACATTGTATTTTGTCTTTTGGTGTCATTCATTCACTTCCATTCTCTTTGATTCTTGAATTAGAGTGTTTATAAGATTTTAGAAAATGCCTTCTTGATTGCTGTCATCAATAAACTATAGACGTATCAATATTCTACCTTCTACTATCAACTGCATAACAGCAACAGTCGAAGGGGGAGGAGAGAACCGGCCCGTACGGGGCGAGGACGGCGGGGGTGGAGAGCAAGGAAGACAGGGATCCCCAGTTCAATCAAAATAGGCTTATTTCTTTGAAACTTAACAATAAGCGAGTATTCTGGTGGCTTCAAAATTTGTTTCGAACCATCCTCGCGTTTCTTTTTAGTGGTTGATGTCAAAAATTGCCTTTTGGAAAACTTATAAGCTTTCATTCCAAGACGATTTTTGACAATACGGCCCATGAAAGTTCGAGAAATTCCCATATCCTTTGCAATCCTGGCCTGTGAACGAGTGGCTTTCGAGCGTAGCTGATTTCGAACCTTCTTGATACAAGCCTTGGTGAAAACAATCGCTTTACCACCACGTCCGGGACGATCAGAATTGGTTCCTAACTCTTGAAAGCGTTTGATCTCGTTGTAAACAAGTTGTTTGCGTATCATCAATGGCTTAGCGATATCCATGAGAAAAATTAGTAAGTAAATAGTTAAATAAATAAAATAAACAAAAAGAAAGACAAAAACAATATATAAATTGCAAGCAAAAATATGCAATATCAAAATACCCCTAGTCCCCGTAATCCTCGACAACTCTGTATTAAACGCAAAAAAAAAGAAAAAATAGCATGGGTAAAAAAAGACACTCTTTTTATCATGATGTTGATGTTATTTACTTATTCATAGTGTGCCCAACAAGCGACAAGTTTTTGATAGTAATCCGATAGTAACTCGGTCAGAAAATTCCCCAATGTGCTGTGATTCGATTGTGCTGTGAATCATTCACTTGTTGAACCCGGTACTATTCAGCCGTTTATGCTCGTTTGTGACCGAGTTTTTTTGTGCGTTAGAAAACAGTAGATTTTGATGTGTCTAGCTAGGCACGGGAAATCGAACAAATCATGGCTAAAAACAGTGAACGACTCAATTATGTGGAACTCCTCGGGATTGAAAATTTGATACTGGGATCATTAAAAGTTACTAGATTCTTACAATTAGCAAGATCGTTCTAATTGGGAACAATAGCATATTGAAAAAAAGTTTTTAACATTGCTCAAATTTGGGTTGCCCTTTCATATAGCTTTTTTGAAAGCTGTTTGACAAGATATCAAAAATCTTCGACTAATTGTTTAACTACAAAAACTCAACAAGTGCACTTGGAAAAGTAGCTGAAGCCGATTAGGCGATTTACTTTTTTAATGATTTGTTCAATGATTTTGAAATAATTTGTGACCGATCTTTTTTCGGTCAGAACTGAACTTTCGCTACAGTGCTTTTCAATTAAACAGAGATCGAAAAAACGAAAAACGGGTAGAGCAAAAAAAGAGATTTGGAAAAGAGGGAAAGCTGAATGAGGCAACAACAAAATTCCAGTTGTCCACTTGAATATAAAAGGGTCGGTTTTAGAGATCGAGTTTTAACTAGTTTATAGAGTTTTTGATAATAATGCCTCGATTACGGTATTTGCTCGTTTTTACCTTCTTTGCCTTCGTGGAAAGTTTTTTATTCAAAGGGCTCGAATCATCCGGAACATGTAAGAGTTATATAGTGTAAAAGTCCCAAAAGTTCGGAGACTTTTCTGATGGCTTCTTGTAAATATATTTTTTTTAATATTTTTAGGCACTCAATAGAAGTTTTTAGGCAGAAATCTCCCCTACAGGCTTTTTAGAAGAGATTTTTTGCCTAATTCGGTTCTGGTCTAATTCTGGAATCGCTTCTGGTCGCAAGTCCAACCGTGTTTGATTCCAATCGTAATCGTTTCGGAAAGTCATCCATGGCTTTTTTGATAACCAATCTCGTCCCAACTTTCTCCAAATCCTTTTTCAAAGACTGAATTGATGTGTGAGGCTTGCAACAAGCCTTAGACTGCAAGCTCGACCAAATGCTGTGATCCAAAACATTCAAATCTGATGGCCATTCCATGGCTGGTCGCAAATCTAATTGTGACTTCATCCTGAAAAAAGCTAGCGCAAAAGAATTTTAGTCATTGCGCAATGTTGCCTAACAAGCCTTCGGAAAATTCTTTGAACTTTTGGGACACCCTTATGTTAAGGAAACTTTCATCTTATTTCAGAGCAACTCAAGTGACTTGAAACTTCACCGTAAACCATTTTTAGGCTCAGCTCAAGAATCGCCGATCGAAATCTCTCACCAGAACAGCAGTTTTAAACACCTGGGAGGGCTATCTCTACACTATCACCGAAATATTGGCCCAAATGTGCAAGTAGGATAATTTGGTTAGAGAACATTTAGAAATACTGCATAGGTAGAAAATTTGAAGCAATTTATAAATGCAAAAAAATTCTGTGACAAACGAGATCGCTTGTTGGTAGGGTCGACTTGCGATAACTCCTCGATGTATTAAAAAATCGATTTTAGATTGCGGCTAATGGCCACGGGGGTTTCAATGTCTATCCAGCAAATGAGGACTTTAATTGTGAATTTCCGAGTGACTATGCATATCATTTTCCCCTCATTTAGTTTTATTCTACAAGAGAACACCTTTCCATTTGGCCCAGATGCACGCCCATTGGGGATCGCCAGACCAAAACGGAAGTGAACACGTCATCGATGGGATACAGTACCCGATGGAGGTGTGTACTCTAGAAAGGAGTAAATATAGGTTCTTTTTCGAAAGAATGATTGAGAAGTTAATGATCAGGAAGTAGAATATGACGCATTTGTTGATTCAAATGTATCAATTTGCTTTGATAATTGATTTTTTTATGTTTAATTTTACTGTTATGTTTGTTAAAGATGAATAAGCTAAAAAATTCTAGTGAATTATCTTGAAAACTTCCAGATTGGGTTGTTTAAAATTCTTTAGGAAGAAAAATTAGTAGCACCCCTTCTAATAGTAGCGCCCACCAGGGGGGGGAAGGGAAAAAATAGTAGCGCCGACGCTACTATTACAGGTATTACGGTATTTATTTAGCTACGCCTTATGTAGATTCATTTTTCCAGCTCCACTTTGTTCATTACAACAAGAAAAAATATTCGACTTTTTCTGGTTCAATCGGTCAACCCGGTGGAATCGCGGTGATCGCCGTTCTTGTGCAGGTCGGGAGAAGAAAAACTTTCTAGAAACACTAAAAAACTCTTGTAGATCGGAGAAAACAATGTGGAATTCGAGAAAATCTCAAAGTTATTAGTGGTTCATCGAAGAAAACGGGACACTAATAGTGAGAAAGATGGAAAAGCTAATGGTAGTGGAGAGACTTTTCAACTACCGACAATAATAACAAACATGATAAATGGAATAAATGAAAAACTCGAAAAGCTTTTCGATTTTCGCAAATTATTGCCAGGTTAGTTCCTTTTCGAATATAAAAAAAACAACTATGATTCGATTTCTTGGTTTAAAAGATAACAAAGTGCAGCAGAAAGACTAAAAGAAATTCTGTGAATAGTTGTCATTTCGTTCTCATATTTTGATCTAACAAATACATTAGATTAGACTTCACTAGAAACTCATCGTTTTCAGATTCTCTCGATTATTTTGCGTACGAGGGCAGCTTGACAACGGCCAACTATGAGAAGTGTGTGCAATGGATTGTGTTGCGAAATTCGATCACTATCAGTAAGGAACAGGTGGGGGTTTTGCATAACTCCATACATATCGGGTTCGAAGGTAAGTTCTGTTCGTTTTCTCTTCTCTCTACCATTAGCTTTTCCATCTTCTCCACTATCAGTGTCCCGTTTTCTTCGATGAGCCACTAATAGCGTTGAGATTTTTGGGAGTGGTTCTTAAACTCAACTAATCTACACGTATTATGGCTCATTCGAAAGCTGAGTTCAAGGCGGAAAAGGGGGAGAAATCGTTCTTGAATTCATACAGTTTTGAAGTTTTTACAGGCGTTTTAGTGAGCTCAGTCAGATCCAAAAAAGTGCCGAAATTGCGTTTCGATAGTTTTTTGTATATCTGGCGATTGAGAAGTCCAAAGCAAAAACGGATTCCCCGTGTCAAACTCTACCAGGGTATCATTCTATAGGCTTAAACTCCACCTTAAGTTGCTGCCTCTCCCTAATTTTATGCTGAACACGATGGCACGTCAGATTTTTGACAGTTTTCCACCAAAAAAAGTTATTGCCCAAAAAAACATTTTCAGGACGGGGTTATTTCTTTGACGGTTCTATACTTTTGGAACATCCAAATCTTCAAGAAATCGAGTCTGTCTCTTATTTGACAATGGTACAACTGACATGCGTTGTTCTATCAACCTTATCACAATTTCAAAAAGTTATCTGTCTATGTGTGTGTCTAGTTATCTGTGACTATGATTTCTCAGTTTCCTTGAAGATTTTTGATCAGGATAGGGTCTAAACAGGGGTAATTGGCTCTATGGAACTATGTTTTTGGGCTAAAAAGCCCAATTTTATGAGGAGTGGGAAGTGCCCATGGACTGACCGAGAATGCAAAAGAAGGGGACGGAGATTAAATTATTGTATTTCATTTGATGAATATTTGGGTCTTCAGATTGACACTCTCCATGGTGTGTCGGCCGCGAACTTTCGACGTCTCCAGCCGTTGCTTGGTGAAACGAAAGTAGAGAGAAATTTCCGGTGAAAATCGATAAAAATTCAATTCAAAAGTCTACGTACATACATATCTGATAAAAAATTATTGTTTTCTTAGTCGCATCGAATATAAAATCGGTTTTTTCTATAGTACAGGGTGTCTAAAAATTATCCGGACACGTTTCAAAGTGCTTTTTTTCGTGTTTTTGATTCTCTTTGCCTCATTAAGTGTAATTAATCTTGTTTTTTAGGTGTTGCTTTCAAATGAAATTGAAAAAGAATTTTCGGGAAGCAATTATTCGTCTTCATAATCAGGGAAAACGCGTGATGGAGATTTCGCGTCACTTGCAGGAGCCTAAACAGACGATTTCTGATGAGATCAAGCGCCACAACTTAACTGGATCCAATGAAGATCGCCTTGGAAGAGGCCGAAAATGCTCAGTGAATACCGGCGCAAATCGAAAAAAGGTTTTGGGCAGGATTAAACGCTTTGCGGGATCAACAAGAAACTCAACAAGAAAAATTGGTGGCGCGGTTGGAATTTCGAAGGATTTCGTTCACAGGATCTTGAAAAAGGTTGGAATGTCGGCCTCAAAGGAAAACCCGGTCAGCTATTGACATCTCTAATGAAACAAAGCGGTTCGCAAGGTGCAAACGACTTCTGGCCATTTCCCACCTGCAGCCCTGTCCAATCGTTATGCTCACGATTGATAGCTCGTTGCATCTGCAAACAGCCTCCCAGGGCAATAATAAATTTTTAATGACTTAATAAATAAATTTTGTGATACTGCTATCCATTTTAGAAAGTCTTAAACGAGATGTTGAAAAACGCAAAAGACAATTTTTCTTTGTTAACAAGGAAAACGTTGTTCTTGTTATCCAATTTTCGTAATTTTTTCTCTTTTGCAACAATGAAAACACTCGACAATGCATAAAAAGTGCTTGATTTTCCAATTAATCAATGTTTTCGTGATTGGAATTCCTAGATGATTATCCCTATCAGCAATTCAGCGTTTTTTTTCTCGACAACTTGCCAGGAAAAAGCCCTCAAAGAAAATACAAATCTGGAATACAAAACTGGTTTTTGACACGTTTTACGCTTTTATACTTGATTTTTAACATAGTTTTCATTTTCATTTCATAACAATATCAACATTTTTCAGAGAAATGAAGATTTTCTTTCTGCTCATCGCACTTGTTCCCATGCTTACCATGGTTGAGTGGGTTTTCTCTAAGTGCTATCGGAATAGGTTATCGGACATTTGATACCCGTCCCGCCCCCTTTGCCATTGGCGATCTAACTTTGGGCTCAAATATCTTGGTGTTGGATTGTTCAATTCAAACATTCTTGGTATTACTAAATGCGTCAAGTCTTTCTCTGTCGATTGGTACAAAAACTAATTAAATTGGAGAGCCCAACATCAAGAAATTTGAGCTCAAAGTTGGATTCTCAATGGCAAAGTGGTAGGGCACGTATAAAATGTCCTACAATCACCGGAATGTGGTTGAAAATTTGGTCATAAAATTTTTAGAGCTGGTTGGCATTCTCTCGGTGCATACGAGGCAAAAAGCCCTGGAAGCTATGTACATCGATATGAGCCGAATAGAAAAAAGAGAAATCCCCAATTGCGACGTGAAAACGTAAATGGGACAGTGGTGCCGCTAAATGCGAAAAAGAAGGAACTGTGAGCGACTTTCAGGAATTTCAAAAACAACATGATTAACCTGACTGAGGTCAGGCTTCTGTCCTGACTTCCCACAGAATAGAAGCCAAAAGCTAAGCTTGCACCTTGGTATGGCCTAACCTTGCCTGGCTTGCAGGCTTTTCTAAATTTAGAGGCAAGTCAGGTTCTGGACTGACTTCTGGCTTTGTTGCACTCGTTGCGCTAAGCCTTGACCTATCCCCAAATGAAAAAGACTATTTTTGCTTATTTTGAAACTTAAATTCAGGATATCTGCTCAAGGGCATCGCACTGCGCTCAAACAACCGGCTACATGATATGTTAAGCGATAAATGTTACACATTATTTTGTTTTACATAACAAACCATTACACTTTCAAATATGTTCAATAATTTTGTACTTTTAAACTATCAAACACCGACAAATTTAATCTTAAAACCGAGAGTCTTCCTATCTGAGTGTTTAGCATAATTTTCAGGTCACAAGCTTCCTAATAAAATCAATACTGTATATTTTTGGGAAAAAATAGCTTTGACTTTATTTGGATTAGATTTACTTATTCATTTGTTTTTTATTAGTAGGACGAGCAGTGAGGCAGAGAACGGATTTCATCAGTTTCTGATTTGCCTTGCTATTAGTTGGCTTTAATCAAAAATAGAGTTGTAAAACTGTAAAGCAGATTGTAACCAGTAATTTATTTATTTGAGTTAGTACGAGCACAGCCATTCTTTGTCAGACAGTCACAGTCTATTCATATAAATCTTTGAAGGAACGATTACGATCCATTTCTATGTGAACTCAATGAGGAGACTTTTTTGTGATAATCTCTATTTGAGAAGATCTTCTTGTAAATCTGATTCGCTTGATTTAGAGAGAATTTAAGAATTGGAGGGTTGCTTGGCTAAAGACCTTGAGTAAACCTTTATATTAAACTAGATCACTTGCCTGCATGTTCCAAAAGATCCATTATACTGATAAACTATGAAAAAGGAAAAGGCCAATTAAATTAGAACATTGAAAAGTGTTCGCCATAGCTCAAAAATTATCCACCAAACGTTTTTTCGGGAAACTTGAGAGTTCGATTTTTTTTCAGCTTTGAATATTTACTTATGAACTACTCTCAAGTGTCCTTCCGTGGCTGGTTCAATCAAACAACAAGTGTCCTTGTTGTTTGATTGAACCCGGTGATCTTTGTCGACGTTTATAAAAGGCCTTTTCGTAAATTTAAACTTTCTTAAAAAGGAATTGACGGACTTTACATAGAAAATTTGTGCTTTCCAGTTTTAACAATTCTTTATTCAATCCCAAAACGACATGAAAACGATGAAATTGATTAAATTGATAGCTTGAAAGAAAATGAATAGTCCAAAATGTCGAGAAAGGAGGAATTGACGGATTTTTGCTTGAAAAAGCTTTCTGAATCAGTTTTTAAACTCAGGAGCAAGCTATGATCAAACCTTGGATCTTTTTCTTTTTGCACTTCTTTTGGTTTAGATCTCTCGGGGAAAGCTACAAGTATCACACAGGAGACTGAGATCAAAAAGACGCAAATTAGCACAAATATACCTAAAAGTAATCGATTTAACTCAAGAAATCGAGAAACTCATCTAATGCTTTCTGTTTCGTCAGTCTAATTCACATAGTATATGCTGTGTATAATCTCACCCAGTAACGGAAAGCTTTTCGTCTTTGGTAGTTGATCAGAAACCATTTGTATAAATGTGGTCATTGACATCATACTTGTCAAAGCGATGCTCAACTAAAGATTATACAAGATTCTACTTCTTTTCTAAATGTTTATCACTTTGGATAGTTGCTCTTCTTTGACATTCGGTGTCCAGAAGCATCCAATAATTGACAGAAAAGTTAAGAGAAAACATGGCAGAGTGATGACGTAAAAGTAGAAACTCGGTTCTCGTTGCAGTTTGAGGATGAAGACAAGCTGTAGAAAGAGCTTTGCACGATTCTTCCCATTTTCTTACCATGCTGAATTCATTATTATCACTCGAACTCTTCAGTTGACTATCCTTGGTCATGTTCAAACTTAGCACATTCCACTCGCCATTTCCCTAAGTTTTTTCTATTATAGAAAAAATTCAGGCTTGGGCAAAATTATCTGGATAACTTTTTGGAAAAGTTGTTGCACGCAATTTATTTCAAAGTGTCAAGTGTTATATAGAGAATTGTAGCCCTTAATCCTGGCTACATTTATCTATTAAAAATTTCCCAATCGGATTTATGCAACTCATTTAACAAGTCCCTGAATGGACACTAGTTGATCCCTATCCGGCGCGCCGCCATTTTTGACGATTTTCTACATAAAAATTGTTCGAAAAAGTTTTTGTCAACATTTATTTTAAGCAAAAATAATATTAACACCATTAATAATATTAAAGATAACTTTAAACTGTTTTGGCTAATCTGCTATAACCAAAATCGAGCTGGTGACTAGCTTCTTTGAAGTCGCAGGAAAAAAAGGTGAAATTTGGTCATTTTTCGATATTTAGTTCACATGAGTATCTCGTTATATTAGCTGTTATATTGTTGGAAATCATTTTTAAACAAAATTCGCACAAAGTTTACTGAATAAAATCTTTTTTAGATAAAAATTTTTATGTAGAAAATCATCAAAAATGGAAGCGCGCCGGCTGGAGAGACTAGTGTTCATTCTAGGACTTGTTTTGATTCTAGGACTTCGAGGGGTCAGGGGGGTGTCATTCTGGAGGGTATCATTCTAATACAGCATTTATGGTAAGTGTGTGACAACTACTTCTCCGAAAAGTTGTCCGGATGATTTTTCCCAACCCTGTAGCAACCCAACCTGAGGTGTGAAACCGATATATTTCGTGAAGAGCTTTCCTTGTAAATCGAACGTTTTTGGCTCAAAAGCGATGGTCACAAATGGTATTTCACATGTTTGCTTATCGAAGGGAAATTTTTGAACCTGAAAATCGCTTTAAATCAAGCTCTATCATTTTACGTACATCAATGAAACATGCTGAATCGATTTGTAGGAACATATCCGAGTGAATTGAGCCATTCGAGTGAACTTTGCACTGTTTAAGGCGATCCGGATAGATCTCGTTGACCGTAAGACTAAACAGAACAAGAGAATGAGCGCTAATAATGGTTTAAATTTAAATCACTCGAACTAGAAGAAACCCATTAACTACTTATTAACTGGATAAACCTATTAACTTCGGAATAAACCTACTAACTACAGTTGAATTCATTCACCTATTCGAGTTAAAGAGATCGGTTGTCCACACTTGATCACAGAGTACCCAAATGACATCTAAACCTCCAATGTCGGCGGGATCCCATCTTAAGCGGACATCTTGCCACTCGATTTCCTGTTCAACATAGACAGAAAGATATTGTTGAGCGACATCCTGTCAAAGTTTTGTTGTTTTGCTAATTTGTGAATCCAGAACCAAGCTAAGGACATAGAGAAGCTGAATTGTGATGATCACTTGGAGAGATGATCCATCTGTAATATTCGGCTGTCCAGAAAAGTCTTTTCGCTCCACCCAAATTTTTCAAACACAAAATTCTAGCAGTTCAAGCAGCAACGACTTTTCTATTTTAAACTTTTGCCTTATTAAACTTTCTATCATGCTAACCAAAACTCCTTCAAACCAAAAAAAATCTCTACCTGTTCCATTTCCAATTGTAAAGCCATCTAGTGGTGACACTTCTTTATGGTATTTTCTGCTAACAAAAACCTCATCGAAAATCTCATTTGCATAGTTCACGGAAGTTGACTGATTAGCTGAATCTAATTGTCCATAAGTTGTCCATAAGTTCTTGCGGTTCTTCAATTTGTGATTTCTTAAAAATCAGCGAAGAGCTTCATCTGAAATCTCTACTCAATAATTTATAAGTTTATGCTAACTAGTAGACAAAATTTGATGACGATTGCTTGGTTCAATCGAGAGAATGAGATATCACTGTTTAGCCATTTATTTGATCAAGTCAGCATCTTTATGACCTTATTTTGAGGGCTAATGTGAGAGAAAATTTCCATACTTCTAGTCAAAAAAGATAAATCAAAAGAGCTAATTTAAGTTCAAATGTATCCGGATTTTTTGGGTCGACCAATCCTCTTAAAAATGCTCTGAATCATGTTTTTCATTAGTGTTTCTCTAGAGCTGAGCGAGTCCACAACGAGTGAAACACACACATCAACGTTAGAGGCTCATTCTCTCGATTGAATGTTATCAAATTTTGGCTACTAGCTAGCATCTACTTATAAATTATTCAATAGAAATTTCAGATGAAACTGTTAGCTGGTTTTTAAGAAATCACAAATTTAAGAATTGCAAGAACTTATGGAGAACCCTAATATCACGATGATTAACGATTTCGCTAAAAATTACCAGAATTTCCCAATATATTCATGTTTTTATGAAGCGAATCGTAATTTTCGAAAAAGCAGAAGTAAATCGTGGAACGAACTCTAGAAAGAACAAAATCAGCAAACGCAAAAAAGCAAACGCAAAAAATTTCTCGTAATTTTTTGTGAAACTTGAGACGACGAATTGTTGTTCACAGTCTATTTGTTTATGGGGGAAAGTGTGAAGTGTGTCGGTGTTTGGACAATATGATCTTTTGAGAAGTGATAAAAATATGATTAGATTGGACAATATGATTAGATTTTTTTAGAAATGATAAAAATTCAAATTCAAAATAAAATTTAAATCTTTAAAGTTAGATTATATTTAAATTCAAGTTTAAATTTAAATCTACAAGTTCCATTAATCAGAAGGTCATAGGTTTGATTCTCAGTGAGTTAAGAATCTGCTTTGGTGTCCACCTGTGGATTATTGTGCACTAATCCAGTTGTGCATTTAAAAATTTATCAGTTAGATTATATTTCCCCGGTTCTATCAGATGTTCTATACGCATTTAATCCCAAAAAGATAAGAAAACAATAAAATTCTTTTAATTTAAGTTGTTTAATTAAATCTGTTTAATTGAAAAGCACTGTAGCGAAAATTCAGTTCTGACCGAAACAAGATCGGTCACAAATTATTTCAAAATCATTGAACAAATCATTGAAAAAGTAAATCGACTAATCGGCTTCAGCTACTTTTCCAAGTGCACTTGTTGAGTTTTTGTAGTTAAACAATTAGTCGAAGATTTTTGATATCTTGCCAAACAGCTTTCAAAAAAGCTATATGGAAGGGCAACCCAAATTTGAGCAATGTTAAAAACTTTTGTCAACATGCCATTGTACCCAATTAGAACGATCTTGCTAATTGTAAGAATCTAGTAACTTTTAATAATCCCAGTATCAAATTTTCAAGCCTCAGGAGTTCCACATAATTGAGTCGTTCACTGTTTTTAGCCATGATTTGTTCGATTTCCCGTGCCTAGCTAGACACATCAAAATCCACTGTTTTGATCAAAAAACCCGGTCACAAACAAGCATAAACGACTGAATAGTACCGGGTTCAACAAGTGAATGATTCACAGCACAATCGAATCACAGCACATTGGGGAATTTTCTGACCGAGTTACTATCGGATCGCCAAAACCTGTCGCTTGTTGGGCACACTATGAATAAGTAACTAATATCAATGTCATCTTGATACAAAGAGTGTTTTACCCTTGCTATTTTCTCTTTTTTTGCGTTAAATACAGAGTTGTCCAGGATTACGGGAACTAGGGGTATTTTGATATTGCATATTTTTGCTTACAATTTATATATTGTTTTTGTCTTTCTTTTTGTTTATTTTATTTATTTAACTATTTACTTACTAATTTTTCTCAAAAAATGTCTCTTTTTTAGAATGGCCAAGAAATCAGTGCACCGAGATGCGATCATCGACCTACACAAGCGGGGCTTAGGCTTAGGAATAGATATCACTAAGCGATTGATGATACGCAAACAATGAGATCAAACGCTTTCAAGAGTTAGGAACCAATTCTGATCGTCCCGGACGTCCCGGACGTGGTGGTAAAGCGATCGTTTTCACCAAGGCTAGTATCAAGAAGGTTCGAGATCAGCTACGCTTGAAAGCCACTCGTTCACAGGCCAGAATAGCAAAGGATATGAGAATTTCTCGAACTTTTATGGGCCGTATTGTCAAAAATCGTCTTGGAATGAAAGCTTATAAGCCAGTTGATTTTAACCAGTTGCCACCATCAAGCCCGGACCTCAACCCCCCTCGATTACTCTGTATGGAGTGTATTGGAAGCAAAAGCATGCTCGAAGCCCTATCCAACAGTCGATTCTTTGAAGAAAGCTCTTCAGAAAGCTTGGGACGAGCTGGACATTCCCTACCTTTTCGCCACCGATTTTGGGAACGCCGGACGCATCTACTTTCTCGCCACAGTGGACACGTTCCCATATGTCCTCAGGCCTGTGTTGCCGCGCCAAGAGAGATCTTTTTGAAAAAAAGTAAAGTAATTTTTATGTTAAATTATTGTACTAAAATAAATTTTTGCTATTTTGGTGTCATTTTAATGTAAGGTGGTCTTTAAAACATCAAGTTCTTTAGTCCCCGTAATCCTGAACAACCCCGCAATAAGGGATATGAGGCAAAATTTTTCGGAATATTTTTTTCAGAAACAAATGAGTGCATGACGGTCCTCCGCCTACAAACCATCGTGACGATCTATCCAAATGACTTTTTTCTTTCCGGTGGGTTGGATACGCACAAATAATTTGCTTTCTAAATGATCAAATGAGACTTGAAGGCTCAGGGACAGAAGCTTGGTTTTGACTATATTTCCAAAAAGTGGCACCTTTTCCGTTTTTTGCGCATAACTTTTCGAAACTTTTCGAAGCATAACTTCAAAATTACTGCATCCCATTTGCTACATTACAAACGTTTGCTACATCCCGTTTGCCCTGAAGTCTTAGCTACGATCTGACTCCCATCACACACCCATCGTCCAGGAGCCCGGTTTTTAGATCACCGGTGGGGATGGGGTTCCTTCGAGGTATAGCGTTCTATTACAGTAAAGAAATTACGGTAAGTAAAGAAATTTACGGTAAGTAAAGAAATTTTTTTTTGATTTTATTTTGATTAAACTGGGGATCACTGTTATGCGGTTGATAGTAGAAGGTAGAATATTGATACGATTATAGTTTATTGATGACAGCAATCAAGAACACATTTTCGAAAATACTATAAACACTCTAATTCAAGAATCAAAGAGAATGGAAGTGAATGAATGACACCAAAAGACAAAATAAAATGTCGCGCAAAAAATTTTAGGAAATGTTAAGACACAAAGAACAAAGAAATAATCATTTCCCAACAATAACACAGACTAAAAATTACATGTATTTACATATTGACTGTGGGTAAATACTGAGAATATACAACCGATAAAAAATCAAATCTTAAAACGAAAGATTCTCTCGAGAAAAAAACGAAAATTTTCTTTTTGAATTTTCTGATCAATCAGCCAATTGGTCCGATCGGTTTAGGGCATTTTTGGAGACAATAACCATGCACACTACGACAGTATCCAGGCCTGCATTGACAAACACCTCGTGATATGGGCAAGATCGGGCAAGTCTTCGGACATTGCTGAAATTGAATGATTAAAATGAGAACAATTTCAAAGTTTAAAAGGACTGTAGAAAAAAGCCAACAAATTGTTTGGTTGTTTACAAGCCCCCCCCCCCCCCCGCCCCAAATGCCGCTCTGATTTTTCATGGATTTGGATTTCCTAGATTTTAAACGTTTTTAAGCGTAACGTATCTATACTATCAATATCGGGCAAAATTTACGGGAAATCTCGGTGACTATTTATCGTACCAAATATAGTACTAAAAATTCGATACAAACTTTCATACTTACCAACCCAATATTAGCACAAACCTTTAACGGTTGTCCACAGATTTGTTCGCACACGACTCCACATAAATTGCACACCTCATTGGGTCCACATATCACTCCACCACAACACCTGGAGATTGGAGTGATGGTTGGAAGAGGGAATGGCGGCAGGGTGAATGGTGGAAGAGTAAATGGTGGGAAAGTGAACGGCGGGATAATGGGTTGTAGCGGCTCTTCTGAACAAATACATAGTATTTTAGATACCTTCACCTCCATCTCTAGTTATCGGAAATTTGGACCTAGATATTGACCTAGAGGAAAAACATGTCTGAAAGTAAAACCATTTCTCCACCCAAGGCATATTTAGGGTTGAACCCTAAAAACTCATGTGGGGGATCCTCAAAAATTTTTCCAAAAAATGTTTTACATTATAAATTTTTTCCGTTGTCAATTTATTTTATTGCCATGACCTTATCATCTCTTATGTCTAATCCCTCCATTTAACCACTTTAGAGCTTTAGGTCAGTCTTTGAGGCAGCTGGGGATGAGGAGAGCCATCTGTACAAGGGGCTCGTCGTCCAATCTAATCAAAAATTCTCCAGCTCATCAACTTACCATCTGCTGCCACGAAATTGATGCTCACGATCAGAATCAGAAGAGTGAAATACGAAATGTGCTTCATTTTACGAAAACTTTGAAAAGTGCTGTTCGTTGTTTGCTTTACCTTTTATAGTGACCCTATTTACACTGGTTGCCCCGAAAATCCCTTTTTACACTTGGAATTTATGCGAATTTTTGCTTTTGTTGATGGATTGACGATTTCTCTGGTGTTTTGATCACGTGATACAGCGGGAATTATGGAAAATGAATGACCTCTAACCTTGTTGCAATATCAAGCACCGCTAAATTCATTTGCCTAATCCTATTTATGTTATAAGTTTATTTCTAGAGGTCTAGTGATCGGTTGCACACCGTTTGAAGAAAATTGCTCCGCATTTCGAAATCATAGTTTTTACTCTCTTTATTTCGGACCAGCTCCTGTCTAATACTCGATAACGCAAACTGTCACTATTGTTTGTATAGGCTGCTCATAATTACTCATAAGTACTCTGCAGGGTGTAGCTCAGTCAAAAGATAACTGGTACCCACAAAATTTTTGAAGGCAAATGTTGAGTGGGTCTCCTATAACGGTGCCCACCAACTAACCGATTGGAAATTTTTCAAACAATCTCTCAAAGTTGAGAGTCGCAACTAGCCTGGCGCGCGGCCTAGTTTTGGACTTTTTGAAGTGACATTGAAAGCCGATTGAGAAATTTTTGCACCAAATTTATCAGAAAGATGTCTTTCAACCTCCAGTCATCATTTACGGGAAAAATCACACACAAAATTAACAAAACCCAGCTTGTTTGTGATTTTCGTCATGTAAATCCGATTTTGGTAACCTAGAGTTTTAAAATAATAAGTGAAAATTGTTGGTTTGGTGAATTGAAAACTGCCGGACTTTGAACTAAAATTTATTCAACATAAAACCATAAATTCATTCCAAATAATTTCCATTATTATTGACGACTTCTGCCCATTTTACAGGCAATTTGCGGATTCCTCTTTCGTGGTAGGATTTTGGTTTTGAATCGAAAAACTTTCAAAGCCAATTTTTGACTGCTTCTTCCGAATCGAAGTTTTCTCCCGCAAGCTCATTACTCATCGTCCGGAATAAATAGTAATCAAAAGGAGCGAGGTCCGGACTGTATGGGGAATGCGCCAAAAGTTCTCAAACAAGGCTATTTATTTTAGAGCGAGTCAATTTTTCAACATGTGGGCGCGCGTTGTCGTGGATGAGAACGATCTTTGACCTGGAGAGCCTATTCTTCTTCAGGGATTCATTCACCTTCCCCAACTGTTCACTGTATTTGATTGCATTAACGGTCGTATTGCTATCCAGCAACTCCCAGTACACCACTCCCTCCATATCCCAGAAAACGCAGAGCATAAAGTTCTTCTGGTGCAAATCGGGCTTAGGGTCACTTTCGAGTTTCCCACCCATTGCCACTTCCTCTGAAAGTTCACCGATAAAACCCATTTCTCATCTCCTGTCACAATTCGAGGAAGAAAGGATTTCCTTTCGTATCGTGATGAGAGATGAAAGGCACTGATGGAGACGCGCTGCCACTTCTGGGGGTCAGTGAGGTCATGGGGCACCTAAGCCCCAAGTTTCGATTTAAATCCAAGGGTATGAAGGTACCTTAGCACTGTAGCATGATCAACCCCTAACTCTTCTCCCAATTCACGCGATGATACCCGATGGTTGTTGGTAATGAGTTCGAGTAATTTGGAATCATCCAGTTGGGGTTCCGCTCCACGGCCCTCTACATCTTTCAGAGTTTTGTCCCCAGATCGAAACTTGGCAAACCATACTCGACACGTTCTTTCGGAAGATGAGTCCTCCCCATATTTCGTTTTAATATTAGCAGCTGCCAAGCCTGCACTGTGCTTTTGTAGGAACTCATGAAGCATGACATGACGAATATGTCCCGGTGGCAGATTGTTGAGTGCAATAGAAGAAGTGAAGAAAAATATCAAAAAATAAAAAGCTGGAAGCATAATTTTTTCGCACTAATTTGAGGAAATGTTGAAGTAACCAAACCCCCTTCAGCTGGTTCAATGCTGTTGTTTTTTATCTGCGTGTCCCGCGAAATAGCCGGCAGTTCACCAATCCAATAGAATTACGCATAGATTTTATGATTTTGTTTTTTTGATTTTTGTTGTTTTTCAGCTTAGGTTATCGTATTGTCTTAGAAAGCCAAAAAGATGCATTAAGCGCAACACTATAAATGTCGCAACCTGGACTGCAGCGCTAGCCCGCAGAAAGTCCTTGGGCTCGCCAGAAGCCAGGCCTTGACCTTGATTTCTGTTAAGCTTTGGTTTACTATTAGAGCTCGATTGGAAAA